TTCCTAGATTTTACCGAGCACCCAGCTACAAAGATCAGCTCCAACCACTGCAGGCGATTATTAAACAGTGGAACGACATTCCAGACCCGTCATCAGCTCGAAGCGCACTCGCAACGCTGGTGCAAGAAGCCGGTGTAGCAGACAACTTTGCAGATAAGTCAGGGAACCCGCTACTTGCCAAGCGTTACGAGCTGCGCAAGGGACCGGATGAAGGACTACAAAAAGTCATCACGAACATGTTCCGCTTCTCATCGACAGCTCTTCAAAAGCTCCGCAGCCAGCTATCGACCAAGACCGGCAGAAAGATCTCTATCTTTACCGCACTGTCAGCGATTATCTGGGGAAATATTGTACATGCTCGATCGACATCGCTCGCTGCTTCAGGCAACAAGCAGTCAACACTCGCTGTCGTTGTAGATCTCAGGAAATATCTTCCACCTCCCTTTTCATCGCCAGATTACCTCGGAAACCTCGTACTGTCTGCTCTACCTACCCTCGATCTTGAGAATGGGGTACCTGACTGCGTAACGTCGCTGCGAGAGGAAGCCCCCCATGCTCCAGACAGCTTTTTTCCGGCAATGACTGTTCCCGCAGATCAGCAGAGCTTTTGCTTTGAGGACCTTGCAGTCAAGATCACAGATGCTCTGCATGCTGTTGATGCGGCGTGGGCGATTACGCAAATTAACAGCGTTCTTACTAACCCCACCGAAGCCCAGCAATCTCTTCTGAAATTCCCCAAAGGTCCGGATCTGTACATCACTAGCTGGCAGAGGATGGGCGCCGACCGTGAATGGTACATTCCTGGAACTAGTACGCCTAACGCAACTGCAATCCGGAGGGCGGCTTGGGTAAGCGAGGGTGGCATCGTGGTTCTGCCCAGGGAAGAAGACAAAGAAGGGCAAGAAGGAGAGCCGTATGAGGTTATGCTCAGCCTTACCCAAGCCGATATGGAAAGGTTTGAGCATGGTTTGCAGAGTGCCGGGTGGTTGGTAGATTCCCCCGTTGACAACATCGTCGACACTTTGAATCACCTCATACTTGGAGCTCATCAGGAACCTGAGGCGAAGCTATCTGTTGGACAGGCGAGGGCGTCGTTGTAGTCTGACTAGGGTGGGCGAGCATTCCATGATTCATGTCATGACTTAATTCTTGTATATATAGCTTGCACCTGGAGACTTACCTAGTACACTAATGATGGTACCTTAATTGGCGGATTTGTGAATAAAGATTAAATCTATGGTTTTACTTCTCATGTGCGAACGCTTTCACCGCTCGGACCCGTACCTGCATATTCATGACTAAAGATGACGATCGGCCGCGGCAACTACCCACTAGCGCCCATCAACCAGTGTCCCTGAGAAAAACAAGTCGCTGCCCCCAACAAACGGGTATTGCTACCCACAGACCCCGGAAATCCCCGCGCGGAAATCCTGAAAAAAATGGCCGAAGAAAGAGAGCCTTTGCTTTCTTATCATGAGGTGCAGCGGGAGAGAACGGAACAGCTACTCGCTCACGAAATCACAGCGAGCGCGCAGGCTAATGAGGACTACCCTATCGATCATGGAAAAGTAGCGTGGATGCAGGTTTTGGGTGGATTCATTCTGTTTGCGAATAGCTGGTGAGTTCCCTCGAAGTCTTCCATACGCCGTAACACAGACGCTAACGGGACGAAGGGGTTTGCCAAATACGTTTGGTGTCTTCCAAACTTATTACGTTGATTCTTTACTTCCAGGGCAAGATGCGGCGCGCATTGCATGGATCGGATCGATCCAGCTGTTCTTCACCACCATCGGTTGCTTGCCTGGAGGTGTACTGCTCGATCGAGGATACCTCAAAAGTGTTATCGCAGTCGGCACGGCGCTAGAAGTGCTTGGACTGATCCTGACTTCTTTCTTCAAGAGCTACTGGGCCATCTTCTTCGCCCAAGGAGTGCTTATGGGCATTGGAAGCGGGCTGATGGCGATAGTCCCCGTCGCTGTGCTAGCCATGTTCTTCGAGAAGAAACGTATGCTGGCTACTGGTCTTGCGTCGACTGGTGCCAGTGTGGCTGGTATCGTCTTTACAATTTCTTTACGCTCGCTTTTCCTCAGCGTGGGTTTTGCATGGGCCGTCCGCATCTTCGCGCTCATCATTCTCATCACGAATCTTGTCGCTTTTTTTGTGATGCGATTGCAACTCCAGTATGGATCCAAGGGCTCTAGCTTCGGCTTTCATCACTTCAAAGATGTGCCATACACGGTGTTCGTCATTGCATTTACGCTGTTTGTTGCATCATCCTTTGTACCATTCTTCTTCATCCAGGAGTATGCCATCAAATTGGGTGTGTCCAAGGACATGGCGTTCAACTTGCTTTCGATCATGAACGCTGCCAACATCTTTGGACGTTTTGTGCCCAACTTCATTGCTGACCGGTACGTTTCCATCACCTTATCCTCGTAGTAGCCGTCTGCTAATATTCTCAACAGGTACGGTGGTGTCAACACCCTACTTCCTCTTGCCATCGCATGCATCATCACCCTCTGCATGCTTCCTCTCGCCCATGAAATCAACGGTCTCATTGCCATCAGTATCGTATATGGCTTCCTTTCTGGCGGCGTCATCATCATTCCTGGACCTACCATTACTGATCTGTCGCCTAACAAGGCTGAAATTGGCGTTCGACTCGGTCTTGCGTACCTCGTCGCTGCTTTCGGTGGGTTGTTTGGTAATCCCGCTACTGGCGCTATCAAAGGAGAAGGCAACGGTGCAGTAGACAACTTCAAAGGAGTATGGTTCTGTGCGGCAGCCGTTATGGGTGCGGGTGTCGCGGCGCTTGTTGTCACTAGGTGGTTGAAGTTAGGTAGCGCGTGGGCTGTGGGAAGAGTGTGAGTAGCGATCAACCCCGCCAAGCTATAAGCAGCCTAGCAAAGGTTGAGCTTCAAGCTACCTGAACGGCAGGTGGTATGCGAACGTCAGCTCAATGTGGCTTATCTAATCACGACGAATCTTTCACATCAGGTCGTTTTTGCACGATGCAGCCAATGGGCTGTTTCCGCCGATCAAGTCCCAGTTGTGGCCGCACATTAGACGCTACTTTGAAGACTAGAACATCCGATAGCTGCAGTGTAACACAGAATACCGAATAGGAAATATTCCCAATATGACCCAGGAGTACAAGCGGATATAACATGACCCCTCCTCTGCGCACCCAACGTCGGTCTCTTTCCTAGTTTTAGCACATACTTCGCGGTAGTAGCCATAATGCTCCCACTTAATATCCTCTCCCTTTTGTACGCGCTTCCACTTACGCAAGCTGCTCTTTATCACCCTACGTCGGCTCTCTCCTTCATCGAACACGTCCTCGTCGACAACTGGGGAGCATACGCATCGAATTTCTCTTCCGCAATAACCCCTTGCACACGCTATGTCTCGCAGACTGGGACTATGGCGCTGACAAGCGGTCGCACGACGTCGGCACAATGGATGCGCGTCATGTTTCATGACTTTGTCACTGCGAATGTGAGCGCAGGCACGGGTGGTATCGATGCTAGCATCGGGTTCGAAACGGCAAGAGTGGAAAACAAAGGGAGTGCTTTCAACGACAGTTTTGCATTTTGGAGGCCATTCGTTCACGATGGAGTTTCTAGTAAGTTCGGAACCGATCGTGAGTAACTAATAGTGCTGATGTGTTGATAGTGGCGGATCTTATCGCGCTCGCCACCGTCATGTCTAATAACTTGTGTGGAGGTGCGCAGATGCCTTACCGCGCTGGACGCACCGATGCGACAGAGGCTGGACGTACTACTGGAGTACCCGCACCAGAGACTGATCTTGAAGAAACTTTGCTGTTCTTCGAGCGCGCTGGATTCGACAAGGTAGATGCTATCGGTCTTACAGCTTGTGGACACGCTTTAGGATCTGTTCACCATGTACGTATACACAAAGCGCTTGGACTAGCTTTCAATTGCTGACCCCTGTAGGGTGGTTTCCCTGAAGTCGTAGATGAGAGTTTCGTTACACCCGAGAACACGAATGGCGGTAGCAATTTCGACACTACACGTGGCGTGTTTGATCCCAATGTCCTCGGCGAATATCTAAATGGAACAGGGAATAAAGGAGGACCATTGGTCACCTCATACAACGACACTATGAACTCCGATCTGCGGTTGTACGAAAGCGACAAGAACGCCACCATGCATGCGCTGTTCGCCCAAGGCACGGGTTTTCTGGATACGTGTGTCGAACTTATGAGTCGAGCCATCAATACAGTACCTGCTGGTGTCCAGCTAGGTGAGCCAGTTACGGCAATCCTTGTCAAGCCAATCAATGTGACATACGACTTCAAAGAAGACGGAAAATTGATGCTCAGCGGAAAGATCAGAATTCTCACACCAGCGGGTGCTTCTCCGCCATCATCGTTGAATATCCGCATCAACCAACACGAGACAGAGATTGAGCCAGAAGCCGAGACTGGAAGCTCCGTGTTCGGTCGAAGCAACAGTATATACGGAACCACGTCGTACTTTCCGTTCTCGCTATCTGGACCTACCATTCGTGATGCAACATCGTTCTTGGTGTATGGACCGGGCATATCAGAATCGACTTTCCCGATCACTAGTCAAGCCTTTTTCATACCCAGTTTGACAGCGCTGGAAGGTTCGTCGATCAATGTCACGATTGCCATAACCGATTCGAAGTCTTGCAGTGACCTAGCAGTGCGTCTTGCAGCACCGTTTGTGCAACACGATACGCTAGCACCGAAGATGCATGAGACCAGTATAGCTGTTGGGAAGGCAACAGCAGTGTTAGACGACTATACGCTTTGCCATGGTCTCACTGTCTTGCAAGATGTTCCAACTGGTCTGGTTGGAGCTGAGGCTTTGATTGGAGGGGAAGTTCTTGGTACATTCATGGTCAATGGAGGAATGGCAGGGTGGTAGTATGATTAAAAGTATCAGATGATCTCCTTACAGATCAGTACCTATATGAAGAAATAGATTACATCAGTCATCGAACCAATCTTAGTGAGTTCTTCCCTTTCTCTTTCGATGCTTCTCGCAATCCGAGTCTTCTTCGTATTCAGGGTCAGAAGACCTGTAGCTCGTATCCCAGGCATCCGAATAGGAGTCTTCCTCATCCTCATCTGTGGCCTGATCGTCACTAAGAACTTTTACGGGCGTATCGAGTAGCTTAGGACTCTTTGGTGGGTTTTTGCAGCCAATACTGCCACAAAGGCAGTCGCCAACAAGCCACTCTGGACCATAGTCTATCGTTAGCTCTTGGTCGATGTCAATGTCGCGTGTTGTCACCACGTAGATTACGCGGCGTTCCATTCCAAACCGCATTGAAACTCCTGCAACCGCGCATTTGAGTTACACGAGTGATTGATAAATCTTGATATTGACCCGGTATGAAGAGCACTAAGTATAGCCGTGGGTTGTGATTTTTGTTTGATCTTACGTCGTCCAATCGAGATCGGTACACAGTAAGCATCCTCTCCATCTTCCTCGTTGGGTTTGACTGGTTTGATACGGCCTGTATACTCTCCTACGATGGTTGAGCCTTGAATCGCTTCGCGTGCAAAAATGCCGTAGCCGCGGGCACCGGCTCTCCGTAACAATAGACAGGCGAGCCAGTAATCTCTCCAAGACTTGCATCCACATGTGCAGAAGGCTTTTCCTACTTCTTTACATACGTAACATTTCATAACTGCGTACTCAGTCTCTTCGACATTCCCAATGAGATCTTCAATCACCTTTGGCGGCCAGACATTGCCTATGAAGTCTGTCGGCCTGGGTTGGCTTTGCCAGTCTTCGACACGAAAAACGTTTTCCCAAGCAACGGAGTAGTAGGTCTTGTTATCAGCTAGGTATGTAGGTACTCTGCAAATTGGTAGACCATCTTGGTCTTGAGCATAAAAGTATAACCGATCTCTCAGATACCGACTGTATAACTCCTTCAGATGTTCAATAATGTCGGCCTTGGTCAGTATTGTACCTTCGTCTTTCTTACGCTTGGCTTTGTCCTGGATCATCTCGAAGACATCGTGCTGTGTTAGTGGAGGCATTCTTACTTGGTCTTACAGAATGAGCGTGAGAAGTCTCATGGGATTATGTGTATAACTCTCTTCAGGATCAGGAACATTTCCTCAAATATACTTCAATCGAGACGATGCGTTTTGGGCCCCTACTCTTTCGAGTTTATTGTATAGCAACAACATGGTCTGATTTCCTAAAAGTTTTGGGAGCCTGTATCTCTTTCAGGATATCTCTACACAATGTCTACACAACATTGACACGCACGGTAGTCGCAATAGATCGTGAACCTGGTGTAGATTCGGGCCGTGCGTACGATCGTTGATATACTGTTGGCAATGCTTTTTGCGCGAGCTAAACCATCTAACGCTACAACCTGCAGAATTATCACCTTCAGATTCGTGCTTGTTTCGGTACTTACTCCAGTGCTCAACTTAGGCGAGCGGGGCTAGCGGCGAATAACTGCGGAGAAACATTGCAAGATATTAATGTGTGCTCCCCTCCGTGTCAAAATAGGTATAGCCGGACGACTGATGCGTCGAGCATACTCGGATGTACGCGCAAGCGTGACATGCAACCTAGTCTACCACCATCTGGAAACTGGGCTAGCTACAGGGTAGATCGCTGTGCTAGGTGCTCCCGTAGAACCTTGCTCGAGTAAGGCTATAAGAAGCCGCCATGGCACTGTAAAGTGAAGTCTGAGACGATCAAGATTCATCTCAGTCGACATGATGTTTGCCTCAATTGCCATCCTGCAGGTACTTTGCGCAGCGGTCGCATCTGCGCAGCTCACCTCAAAACTCACGGAAATCATGTAAGATGTCATCAGGAATAGGATGTCTTCGATACTAATAAATCAGTGACTTCGGCCCGAATCCGCGAAACGTTTCGATGTTCATCTACGTGCCGGCAAACCTTCCGCCCAATCCACCGATTTTGGTATCACCACATTTTTTCTATTCAGCGTCTAAAGGCTAAATCCAATAGGTATCCCCACATTGGTGTCACGGCACGGCACAGCAGGTACGTTGCGATCGTTCAAACGCGTCTTCGACATACACTGACTTGATATCTTACCTCTAAGGTCTTTGACTATAGACCTTGGGCTTCTCTCGGCGACGAGTACGGCTTCATCTCGATCTATCCTAACGCTTCAACATTGAACACGGACCAATGCTGGGATGTCAGTAGCCAGCAATCGCTCACTCACAATGGCGGAGGCGACGCGCTCGGCATCGTATCCATGGTGCGGTGGACCTTGGAAAAGTATCATGCAGACAAAGACCGCGTTTTTGTTACCGGCACGAGGTTTGTTGCGCCCGTACAAAATGTATGTGAGACATACACTGACTTCGCATCTTCACATCTGCAGTTCAGGCGCAATGATGACAAATGTGCTCATCGGAAGCTACCCAGATGTCTTTGCTGCAGGGAGCGCATGGGCGGGTGTACCATTCGGATGCTTTGCCGGCGACGGCTTCGATGTCTGGAGTGACGCGTGTGCCACTGGCCAGATCATTAAGACTGGGCCCCAATGGGCAGCTCTCGTGCGCAACGCATACCCTTCGTATCGCGGCTTCCGTCCTAAGTTCCAGACTCTTCATGGCACAGCAGACACGACGCTTTATCCACAAAACTTCCGCGAGCAGATCAAGCAATGGACGAGTGTATTCGATGTGAGCCAGAAACCGACCGAAATTACAGAGAACGTTCCTTTCCAAGGCTGGACAAGGTTTCGGTATGGCGACAAATTCGAGGCGTACGAAGCTGGTAGTGTTACACACGACATCCCGACAGATAGCGACACTGTGATGGATTTCTTCGATTTGAAGTGCAGCGGACCGAGCTGCTTCTCTAGGCCTAGGTCGGGCAACAGTACGAAGTACCATGGATAGGGTACTGTTTGTATTCATGGACGCTTTGTTAGCTACTGCTGTAAATTACGCAACGTATATGAAGGACGGCTTCTAGATAGGACTTGCGAGAGTACCGTGATGTGAATTGTATATAAGCAGTGATTGTGCTAAGGTACATTTGATGGTGGTGAGGACCTCATATATGGAGGCCGAACAAGAGACAAAGTTAGTCAAAATAGAAAAATCTCGGCGGCATGCTCGGTGATACTGTGAAGGCACCGTTGTTGAAGCATGAGTTGTCCGTGAAACAGCGCTTCTGGAATAAAATCAGCGCTAAGACGCGTGACGTCACCACCCACAAGCGCGATTCCGACCCAGCTGCAATGAACAGCTCTAGAACTGTGATGGAGAAATGTCCTCAAACTACAATCAACCGGGATAAGTATCAATTTTGTACAAACGATGCTCACTCAGGATACTGTCAGCACCGGACTCGCGCCGTAGCCTTCCATCGAGCATGATGCGGGGAAGACACGCTAGACACGCGGTGTCGTACGTCCACATGTTCGCAACCCACGTCGGGACAATGTCTTGCTCAGATGCAGCCTCCATGATCTCCGCTCGTTGCAGTACGTGTTGAACGCGGATGACTTTAACCCGAGCCCGTAGCTTCGACCGACATGCTGAGTTCCACTCTGGGCTTAGCGACCTCAGATGATCACTACGGCTTCCTTAGCATGCATTTCAAAGATGAGCAGGTCCATCCGCCACGGGGCCAAGGGTTGGCGACGCTCGTATAGCAAAGCTGGAAATCCGTATGCGGTTGTAGGCTTTCTCCGCAGGGAGCATTTCCAGTCCTGGGTACTTCCCCACCTAGTCTTCATTACACCGATGGTAACGTTATAATCTTCAGATCAGACCCCTTCGTAGGCCAGTTAGGTACTTGCCCCTAGTTCCTGTCTTCCAGAAATGCAGATGCTAAATCTCTTTGTGGCCGTTTGTGCCTTTTCGAAATTCACAGTGCATGCACTGCTTGAGGAAAAGTTCGTGGGCTTCGAGCCTGAAGGTCAAACCTTGGACATTGCTGGTGCCACACTCATAGCCGATGCGGATGACTTTTTAGGTATTCACATTGCGCTCAAAAGCTTAGTGGAAGACTTCGATCAGATTACTGGAACCCGACCCGCAATCAATAATGCCACCACCAACTCCACAGTACCAGCTTCAGCAACTGGAGTCATTGTCGGCTCTGTGGGGTCGAAGCTCATTCGCCAAATTTCTGCCGAAAAAGGTCTCGACATCTCAGACGTTGAGGGGAGATGGGAAGTGTTTAAAACTGCTGTCATCGCCAACCCAATAGCTGGAGTTGAACGAGCGTTGGTCATCGTAGGTAGTGATAAACGCGGTACTATCTTTGGTATACACACGCTCGCCGAACAGAGTGGTCAGTCTCCGTAGGTATGCACGTATTGTGTATCTAGACGTCAATTAACGAGCTGCATCAGATACCACTGGTGGGCGGATGTTCCCACGAAGAAACACGCCGCCATTTTCGCGTTGCCAAAAGCCACTGTTCATGGCCCACCATCAGTCAAATACAGAGGGCTCTTCATTAATGACGAAGCTCCAGCGCTGGTCACTTGGTGGGCTGCGCAACACAACTCCTCCTACCATCCTCTAGACACGGAGTTTTACTCACACGTTTTCGATCTACTTCTTCGACTAAAAGCCAACTACTTGTGGCCTGCCATGTGGGGATCATCAACACCAGCCCCAGGCCACATCTTCTTCACCGATGACCCAGGAAATCAGCAGCTTGCAGATGACTACGGTATCGTAGTCTCTACTAGCCATCACGAGCCAATGCAAAGAGCGACTAATGAGTGGAACGCGACTGAGACTGGGCCCTGGGATTGGAGACTGAACAAGGAAAACGTAACGCGCTTTATGGAAGAGGGGATCCGTAGGATGGGAAACAACGAGAGCTATGTGACACTGGGCATGAGAGGTCCAAGTGATTCTGCCATTGTTGGGGATGATGCTTTGGAGATTCTTCGAGAAGTGTTTGAAGTTGAGCGTCAGATTTTCAAAGAAGTTCTGGGTGACCAGAAAGTAAACCGTAAGTAAAGTTGTTGGGGAAACAGGTGTGTGACATGCTAATACGGTGTAGAGGCATGGACAATCTACAAGGAAGTCGCGACCTACTACGCCGCTGGACTAAGTCCGCCCGCTGACGCAAGTAACTTCTCGATATAGAATGCACCTAAGATTTATGCTGACTTCGTATCCCTATACCCAGGTCACCATCATCATGCCCGATGACAACCATGGCCAGATTCTGCGGCTACCCACTGGTAATGAGACTGCCAGAGAAGGCGGCGCTGGTATTTACTTCCACTTCGAGTACTTCGGCAGACCGCGGTCGTACAAGTGGTCGAACACCAACAGCTTGGTTAGTAAGTGCATCTTTTGAAGGAGATCTATGACTTACAAGCCTAGCCGAAAGTTTTGAAAGAACTTTTGCAAGCTTACTGGCGAGATGCGAACCGCGTCTGGGTTCTCAATATTGGCGATATCAAGCCTTTAGAGCAACCCTTTGGGTTCGCCATGGACTTGGCTTGGGACGTCTCGAAATTTGACTTTGATATGATACCAGAATATCTACGCCTCTACTCCGAGCGGGAATTCGGTAGCGAACATGCGGATGATGTTGCGGCTCTACTGATGGAATTCAACTACCTCATCGGGATGCGCCGCTTTGAGATGGTTCAGCCAGACACATACTCGGTATTAAACTACCATGAAGCGGAAAGGATATTAGCAAGATGGAACCTGCTCGCCAATCAAACCAAGACATTGTTTGAACAGATACCGGAGGATTACAAAGCCGCATACTATGAGTTAGTATTCTATCCCGTAGTATCGGGTGCTACATACTACGCAGTAAACATCGGGTAAGTTTTGGCTATACCATATGCATAGGAGACATACACTGACTTCGTACTTCTTCGTCTTCACAGCACAGGACTCAACTATCGACATGCCATGGAACGGAGGAACTCAGCAAATGCACTTGCCCACCAGGTTCTTGCTGACTTTGACTATGACTATGATCTGGTAGAGGATTTTGACGCCCTCCTCGACGGCAAATGGCGAAACATCATGTCTCAGGCCAAGCTCGAAACGTTCGATACCGGAAAGGCAAAGAACTGGATGAACCCATCTCGCGACATACTCTCAAATCTTTCCTTTGTTCAGTTGCGCCAAAACATGCAGTTCTCTGTCGGTAATCTTGGCATCTACGCTGAGGGCTCTAACAGCCCTCTCGACCAGGGTCGATGGGCTGAGTCTATCGATCCTTCGATGCCCTTCACCAAATCTCCAGCCCAGGTCCCAGAAATGAGTCCTTATGGACCTCCCAGGCGGACTATAGATCTATTCATGCGAGGTGACTACCGCGTCCCAATCGACTGGCAGCTTGGCGATATTCCAGTGGATTGGCTGTCAATTGCACCAAGTTCGGGCCGACTTAACGTGACGGCCGAAGAGCAACGCCTCGAAGTCACCATTGACTGGACACAGGTGCCGGAGGGATACAACGATACAGTGGAAGTTGGCATAACGTCAACACCGTCATTTTATCCATACTACGACATCATACGTATCCCGGTACAAAATCGGAAAGTACCCACTAATTTCCGCGGCTTCCCAGAGACAGCTGGTTACATATCGATTGAAAGCCCACACTTCCAGCAATCTTCCTCCTCCCCGAATAACAGAACGGCGAGTGAAACAGTAGCATTTGTCCACGTTCCATACCTTGGCACGCGCACTGAATCCGGCTCCGTGGCTCTGCGGCCTTTCCACGCTGCTCGGGCTTCTCTTCTCGACTCGAAATCCGCATATGTTGAATATGATATCTACCTCTTCAAGGACACTCCTGCTATCAACGCCACTATCTACATCAACGCTGGCTTAGATACAGATCCCAACCTTCTCATGGAGTTTTCACTTTCTCTTGATGACGCTCCTCAAAACTTCACACGTGTGTTAGGTGACCCGAAGGACGCGGGCGATGTGCCACCCGAATGGACGGACAACGTAATGAATCAGGTGTGGACAAAGAAAGTTAGTCTTGGTGAAGCAAAGGAAGGGGCTCACACGCTTCGTTGGAGCGTTAACAGTCCTGAGGTCTACTTGGAGAAGCTTGTTCTGGATACCAGAGGCGGGGTCAAGAACAGCTATTTAGGTCCACCTGAGTCAAATCTGGCTAGATTTGATTGAGCAGGTTACAGGATTGCTCGCACCTGGAGTTGCAGTGCAACTCAAACACTGATGGGTGTCTATCGTAGGAAGGCGTTCGGACAGATTACCCCAGAATACGTTAACTCATGGTTGCTTTCGATCCTTCGAAACGTTCCATGCGCTCAGCACCTTTCGTGCGAAGTTTGACGCCATAGATGTATAGCTGCATGATGAGGTCAGTTGATTTCCAATTAAAAAGAACAGATGTTTGCAAATACCAGTAGTACCAGCGGCAATCCCACGCCTAGGACTAGAAATCCCAGCAACCCCACACCCCAGTCTAGGCCAAGTTTGGCGAAGAGTTTCTCTCCGAATAACGGAAATGCACCAGCGAACATGCAGCGAAGGAACGAAATGGCAGCGACGGCAGAAGCGGGAAACTTGAAGGCATCGATGGCGTACAGTTGTAGGGCGAGTTGGATGTTCATGCCTCCGGCCATCATAAGCATGATAGCCACAAGTGGAATCATGAAGTGGGTTCGTGTGGCGGTAAACCCATACATGAACAGCCCACCGACCAATAATGTTCCTCCAACAAGGCAGCTGATGAGTCTCGACTCAGGTCTGTACTTCATTTGTCCAGATGCGGTGTCTCGCTTGAAGATAGCTTCCATAGCACGGATAGTGGCGAATGTACCAAGAAGCATACCGATACCAGCAGCGAGGAAGTCTGTACCAACGATTCCGACAGAGTGTCCGTATCCGGAACCAAACACATCTGCGTACGTAACGATAATGAGGTATACAACGCCAAAAATCACGGAGTAGAATAGCGATGCAAGCAGTAGCGCAGGATCAAGCACAAGGTATGCCAAAGGTCTAATGAACGCATTGGCAAGCGCTGTGGGGTCAGTCGGACGGTGCTGAAGATCCAGTACGGTATATAGTTCGGCGCTAGGATTGGTACTGCGTTCTCTTCGCAGTTTCTTCTGCAGAATTCTTGGTCCAAAGGACTCTGGGAGGAGAAAAAGCCCAGCCATTGAGAGTAAGGCGCTGGCGATTGCAGGTATCCAAAGAGTCCAGCGCCATGAGACTCGCTCCGACATCCAGCCGCCACATACAGGACCCAAGACGGGGCCTAGAACACTGTTCCTGGTAAGCAAGACTGCTGAAAATGTACAAGCATAAACTTACGGGCCGAGCATCACGAGTCCAGATGCTTTCGGACGGGCAGCAAGATCCCAGAGATCCGTAACGACTCCACCAACAACAGCAATGGCCGCACTGCCTCCGAATCCAGCGAATAAACGGCACACCGAGAATTGTGCAGCGGTTCTTGAGAAGCCTCCTCCGAGGGAGAATGCAACGAAGATAATGTTGCCTAAGTGTATGATAACCGCTCTACCATACTTCTCACTAAGTGGAGCGATGAAGAGCGGGCCAAGAGCCAATGCAAAGAGAAAGATGGAGACTTGTAGGGCGCCGACAGTACTGTCCGTGATACTCAGGTCTTTCATAACCAGATGAATGGATGGTGCGAATATGGTGCTTGCGAATGGGGAGAGGAAACAGCAGCCTCCGACAATAGCGGTTGCCCGAATTTTCTTAGCGGTCGGCCATGACTGGGACATAATGTCAGCTCTAGGACCGGCGTAAGTGTAATTCTACTTACACGAGGATGTTCTTGTACATCTTCATTCAGGGATACAAAGTTGGGATCAAGATGCTTGAGCTCGTGGCCACCGATGAATATTTTGTCCGGCTGAGAGGCTTGATTCGCAAGTAGCTCTTGGTAAGCTCGGGTAATAGCCTGTCTTGAATACGATCCAGAAGGCTCTATATCGATGGAGTTGTTCATTTTTGTGTCATTTTGAGAGACGGACATGTTGACGAAAATGGAATGGATGCCAAAAAGCGACAAAGGAAGAGATGATGAGTAGGTTGAAAGAAGACACTTACGAGTAGCTGACGGTCTTATACGTTTACCATGTTATCGTTTTCTCTATGTTTTCTTTCATATAGCCGACAGTCGCCTATCGGCAAATTAAAAAACCAGATCTCCAGTATGAACAGAACATGTCCAGCCGCTGCTGTGCCTTGCAGTGCAGTACGCCTTTGTGTCAGGCACGCCCACAACTAGGAGGCTGGCGCCCCATGCGGACTATCTAGTCTCAGATAGTGTTAGTATGCGGACCCATAGTGGAGCTAAAACCGACATCGCCGGCGTCACCCGCATCCTCTCCTCTCCACTTTCAAACCATAAAGATGTTGCGGCCGCATTTCTTTGCTTAGAACCGACAAAGACCACTGTGATGCGTGCTCGGGATGTGCAGACCTGTACCCGCTGCCGTTCAGCCAAACGACAATGCGACAAACTTCGACCTTGCTCGCGCTGCCACAAAGCCAAGGCCGAATGCATCTACGAAGGACAGACCTCAGAAACGTCACCACTTGAGTCTTCCAGCCGCTCGGAAGGAGTTTCCGATACCGCATCCAAAGCTTCTTCACCCCACTCGGTTATTAAAAGACGCTCCCGAGCCTGTTTTTCCTGCACAAGATGCCATCGGCTCAAGATCAAGTGCGATCGGAGAGCTCCGTGTAGCAGATGCACACGATCTGGATACGAAACGACATGCATATATACGCATAGATTAAACAGGTCCGAGAATTCGACGTTGCCGTCATCTATCTTCGCAATTGAGGACCCCGAGTTTGTTGTCGCTACCTGGTTTCTACGAAGGCGAGGTTCGGGTCGTTTTAGAGCCCTCTTAGATCGGGTGCGTCTCCCCTATGTTGTCTGCCACAATGCTGCCAAGGCTGCTGCTGAGCCTGTCACTATCTGAACCACCCGCATAAACCTTTTTGGAGCATGGCACTGAGAGTATATGCAAGCCGGAGGAGGGCTCGTAATGCATATGTGCTGACGGTCTTTAGTTGGAGGCACTACCTGGGCTGCAGGCGCCGCCTTTCGTCATGGCTATGCGGGAGCACATTGCGGGAGATTGTTCAAGCGACTTTGCGTTGGCTGGTAGCTTTCCGTTAGGTAGTCCGGAGTCTCAGTCGTACGCTTCACTCGACAGAGTACAAAAGCTTTTACAAAGCTCAGCATCAAATGCTACTCTCTACGTCGAGGCATACTTCCGGGTGTACAATCCCTGTTTACCAATCCTAGACCCATCTTCATTCATATCGAAAATGGAGAGTGGCCACGATACCCAAGTAGATCCTAGCTGGCTTGCACAGTACTTCGTAGTACTGGGCCTCGGATCCTATGCTTTGGCTCGCGATGAAGTAGCTTCCTCGGAATACTTTTACGCCAGCGAGGCTTGTTTGGCGAAAACATCATACATGTTTCGTCCGACCGTCATGCACATTTCCACTCTATGTTTGATGGTTTTAGCGAAGTCGGTAGCTTATGCAACGTGCTGGGCTCTAGATACCAGTTGGAACGTTATGGGTCTCGTCGTCCGCTTGTCCATGACGATGGTACTACACAAAGACTGGATGCCAGGATACCTGGAGCCGGTGATCGCCCACGAAAGAAAACTCCGGCGACACTTGTGGGTAGTGGTTGTATATCTGGATATACAGATGTCCCTAATCACTGGCCAGCAATCGCTATTGCCGCAAGATGCTCTTCTGATCAGTACAGAATCATGCGACCCATCCATGTTGGAAGATTGCTTCGACTCCGTTGTACCTCAATCGTTTTCAATCATCTGCCACTTTCTGGCTCGAATCAACTCACAGATCGACCAGATTACTTACGAAGAGGCAATTCAATACGACCTTGAGTTACGACAGCTGATGCGCCAAACTTCAGATTTGCCTGGCAACGAACACCTGCGTTTAACGCTCGATGTCTTCTTCCGTCGCGCACTGTCGGTCCTCCACGGACACTACGCGCTAGCTCATAACGCTGCTGTCATATATCCTGTCTCGTATTGGTCGTCTCTCGACTGCAACCTTGCAATGATGAAGCATCACCAAAGTCTGTCGTCATCGTCATCAGAGCAAGGCTCAGATTTAGGATTGGTCGCACAACCCTATATGTTGGACTTTTTTGCGGCTGCACTAACGACTTGTGTACACCTGCTCTCCATGTCTCCACCAACCGACATCCTGCTGCCGGATCGCCCAACTATATCTCGCAGTTTGGAGAATTGCGTGAAGCTCATCGAAAGAGAAGAGAGCAAATCACTATGCTTTCGCACAGGATACCATCTGCTCAGTGCTGTGTTTGACTTGACGTGCAAACACAGTTCAACTGGCCAGTCTATAGCTATGTAGAATAGTTCATGATCAATCTGCGGCGCCAGGATAATACCTAAGGAAAGTTTGATTTTAACTCAACTTCCATATTGACAGCTTCACTCTGGGCAAAGTACTTCACGTGTGGATTCTATGATCATATCATTAGAAGCTGCTTCATTCATAAAATCGTAGTATGACTAATTTCTGAATAGACCTCTACAACCGTCTTCGGTAGTGCCCAGTGCTGTTTCCACCAGAAACCTCGGTGTCCAACACTGCGACACTGAGTTCGGGCAGAGTGAAGCGGAATGCACCATCACTTCCAGCAGTGATCATCATGTTGGTAGTGTTTACGATGTTGACTCCGGTGAAGGGGTCGTTGTACATGTATGGGTCGCCGACAGAGTTGGTGAGGTAGGTGAGGTTGGCCATAGTTCCCGGAGCAACGCCCTGGAACTGGACACTTACAGGTACGTCCGCGTGGTTGGTGGTGTTGTAGACTGCGCCCTTCCATACCATAGCACCGTCGCGCTTCTCGTCGTATCCAGCACCCCAGTAGAGCGGCCCATAAGAAGAGTTCGAGTGCGTGGGGAGTGTGTGGGAGATCGGGTGGTGGGCGAAGAGACTCCAGCAGTACCAGGTAACGGCTTTTGTGGTGCGCTTCGGGTCAGCATCAAACTGAATGAGTGTGATGGGCCACTGGAAGCGGTTGTTGTTCTTCAGAACGGGTGCGTAGAAGGTACCAGGGATGCGATCAGAGTTGCGCTCGTAACCGATCAGGGATACGGCTTCACCGACAGCACCTTGCCACCATGGGTAAGGGTACAGGTCGCCTTCCCAGCGGATACCGCCGTTGACGTGAGTGGCTGCAACTTCGCCGACAATGTGGCCGGCGTCGTTGTCGAAGCGGTTGAACTCGTAGACAAGCTCATCAGGCTCACGGTATGGGTGGTAGTCACCAATTGCATCAAGAGGCAACACCTGTCCATTGACGTTGTTGGGGCCGTGGATGGGCGGCTCGCCAGCAGGATCGCTGGAGGCGGCTGAAGAGATGACCTGGATATCAGGGTAGGCCTTGCTGATAGCATTGTAGAAGAGCGGGAAGCGGTATGCCCGGTAAGATTCCCAGCCACCGGGATATCCAGCAAGCCAATCCTCGTTACCGACTTCGACATAGTTTAGCTCAAAAGGCTCGGGATGTCCAAGTTCAGCACGGCGAGCACCCCAAGTGGAGTTGACGGGACCGCGAACAAACTCAATCTCGTTTAGAGCATCCTCAATGAAGGGTTGAAGGTCCTCTTGGGGAGTGATACCACCGTCCAGATCAAGACTATAGAGTTGAAGGTACGAAGTCAGTGTATGTCTCATATGCGTTACGTGCAGCCAGAACTTACCCAGCCCAGACGCCGAGCACGATCTCGAGACCCATGTCCTCAGCCCACTCAAGGTATTCCATAAGACCAAGGCCGTGAGTCTGCTGGTATCCCCATACACCCTGAAAACCAGGACGATATCTCAGAGGACCAAGAGAATCCTTCCAGTCCCAGTACGAGTCGTTGCGGAGACCCTCAAGCATGTTACCGCCAGGGAAGCGGAGGAAGGTGGGGTTCATGTCCGCAAGAGCCTCAGCAATGTCGACACGGAGACCATTCTTGCGGTTCTTGTAAGTAGGTGGGAAGAGGGAGATAAGGTTGAAGTCGAGTGCGCTGGCTGCAGCACCGTCAAAGGTGATAGAAAAGGTGTTGTTAGAGTTGGGCGCATCCTTTTCGGGAACGAGCTCGAAAGTATGCTCGGTCCAGTCATCTGCAACGGACTTGGAGGGCACTTCAACAGATCCAAACACATCGCTTGTCAAGTTTGATTCGAGCGATGCGGTGAAGACGCCATCGTATGCGCCCTTGACCCAGAAAGATCCGGTGTAGGTCTGCACACGAACGTCCATACCCCAGTAACCCTCATTCTTGAAACCAATCTTGCTGGTGTTGGAGGTGCCATTGCCTGCAGAAACACGCATGGATGCTGGCAGTTGCTTGGAGAGTGGTTCATCCAACATCTGAATACTGAGCGCAGCATCGTTGACCGAGAAATAGTGGTCAGTCGAGACGCTGTAGTTTTGGCTGTACTGGAAAGCACGGTTTTGGATCAGCTCGGCGTAGATTCCACCATCGCCGGAGTTGTTGATATCCTAAGCAACAGTGAGTACACAATATGTAGTTGCAAATCATGATGAAATACCTCGTGGAGGAAACCATAACCATAGGAGTGCCCGAATTTGCCAGTCAAGTTGCCACCTAATTTTGGATCAGTACATGTCTTACATACAGTTCACACAGAGACATACCTGACGACTGAACGATGATATCAGCAGCAAGCGCAGAAGTAGCGCAGGCTGCAGCTGCAATTCCCTTGAGAAACACCATCTTTGCGATCAAAAGACAATGAATTGCTGGTCATCTCAAAAACGACCTTTCTGCCATCCTTATACTTTCACCCGTCACCCGGTTCACTAACCGTTCCCCAGAATCACGGGCGTACCAGCCACGCCAGATCTTGGCGACAGGGAGAATCGTGTAATATCCACACCTGGTTCCGGTACAGTCGTCATGACATTTCCCGGTTCAATGGCGGGTAGACAAGAGAGCTTGAGGTGCGCCACCCGTCATTGGAGGATTTTGGCGTTAACGAGCGGAAGAATTGGAAGAAGTCGAGGGTTAGTTCCTGACGATCCATGCATCCATGTCGGCGGATGCAGCGACCCCTCTCGAGTGACGTGATGCGAGGTCCGACTTCTTGGCTCATGGAACGCCGGACGATGTGCAGTACTTTAACCCACGGGTGTGCGAAACTTGTTGCTGATATTCAGTCGCAACACCTAAGATACTTGGGTAGCATTGGCCCCATCTTCGACTACCGTCCGTCTTGTGGAGTTTGACTGGTGCCATAAAATGTCTCCACTTACCGAGGCAGCGGAAAGAACCTGGGGGACGCTGGGGTCTCCGCTTCATCGCGGCTCGGTGCTTTCGCCGTCAAATGTCGCATCGGCCTCATACGCGGCTAAACTGCTACTCCAGTACTAGCGCCTGCCAGCCTCCGAGCGGTAAGATATGGGAGGATTTGGCGCCCAGAAAACGCGTGTTTGTGTTCGCCCTCGAAAGATGCTCACGACAGCCAACGCGCGGAGCTTGATGTTAGCTTCCAAGGCAAGACGGTTAACTAATCTGATGTGGGGCAAGTTAGTGCTTCAGTGGCTCGGGTGATTAATTTCCGCTCCGGAAGAGTCGCTTTGTGAGGAAGTGTTCCATTACTGCCAGACCAACATTGACGGCAGCCTCTGTGCCTCACGGTCACGAAATAGTCCCGCGAAACACAAAAGATTTGGTCGACTTGGTGAAACCCCAAGCCGAAATTAAATACCTGGTCCCAAATACCGCGCTCTTGAAGAAAATCAAAACTTTGATGTCGCAATCCAGTGCGGCATCGTTCCATTACCTGCTCAAAGTTCCTCTTCTCTAACCTTACTGCCACCCAAAGCCTTCCGCCTTGTATACATTGTCATCGAAAAGGGTCAGACTCTTGCGCACTATCCCTTTTGACCTGACTCTCTTTCTCAACCCAAGCGGCCGTTCCGCTAACGCTGACCACAACGCATCCTAGTATCTCGCTCTCTCTGATGTCCAATCCGATAATTGCATTTGCACCTTTGCTTATCGCCTCTTTCACGAGTCTATCAATTGCTTGGTCACGCGCTTGATATACAATACTCGTTACGCTCTTTGCCTCCCCCCAATTACTGCTGAAAGTGCTTGCGATGTTCTTGATGAAGGATTTTGTATCTTTGCGCGTCGCGCTTGTGGTTCCATGGACAGCACCGAGAACGCGGATGACTCGATGACCTGGTAGGTCATTTGTCGTGGATGTCAGAACGGCAGGCGTACGACTCGAGGGCGCTTCGGTATCGATCGCAAGAGGTGAAGATAAAGGCTGTTGAGGCATAGTGCCTTTCGAGTGGGGGTGCCAGCTGGGCATGCGGTTGGGAGGGACCATCATGGTCGAGCGACGGTTTGTCAACATCTTCTTGACTGATTCGGGGGTACGAATGTATCTGGGATGCGATCTCTATACAAGATGTGATAATCAGGGTGGTTATGAGATGATTGCTAATGTAGATGTAGCGTGCAAGATATGTGAACGGATCTGCGAACGACAGGACGCGACAATCGATCAATATATCTAAATACGACCCATGATGACATTCATCGGATTTCGAAACACCTGAGCATCATGCCTCACCACGCGATGTTGTCCAGGTGCATGTCTAAGCCTCGACAAGAGCTGCTAAGACGGACGGGAATGCCGTGCAACAACGCGCCTGCGTGTGACGGAGATTAAGCCGTCTTTTGCGAGTAAATCGTTATGGCAGAGACGCGGAGGCGCATTCCGCACTTCGGTTTGAGACGTTGTCTGGGTAGGTCGAGTCGAGGTGATGAAACATGCGAAGTTGCGGGGCTGCACCTGGAGTTTCAGACCTAACGCTGACACGTAGACGGTATGTGACCGTCAGTGTTGGATGAGAGGAATGTTGCTTCGTATCCCAAATTGAAATGCCATTGCATGCGCATCGTTGCGGCCGTGATCGCTGTAAGCTACGCATAGCGGTCGCCCCTGTGTGGCGATTTGTGAAGCTTGCTCGAACATTCGCAGGGCCGGTGAAATTGATCCTGTGTATTCGAATTGCGCTGTCGCGACAACCTGCTAACAAGAGTCTGTTCGGTAGTAATCACTGTCTTGGTGTAAACATTGCAGTAACCAGGGTTGGCCAGTGTTTGACATATGCTCGGTCACTATGACGTCTGAAAGCGATCCACTTGGCTGGCGCTATGTATGTTGTCACATCAACGTTTCTCGTGATTTTACAGTAAGCTTTCTGCCCTAGCGATAGTAATAACTAAGCACTATACACCTGGTTTCCTTCGAACCACGTTCCCAATATCTTGGCTTTGAGTAATTCTTCCCCTTCCCACTCCATTTCCACCACACAGAAATCCGCCATCTTTCCAACTTCCAGACTTCCTACACGACCCTCAGCGAAAGAAGAATAAGCTGCGCCCTCTGTTGCAGCAGCTACTGCTTGGGTCAACTCAAGCTTGAAGTTCTCATTAACAGGCGCGTCGCCCACGTGCGGTTGTCTCGCCGATTTACGGGTGGTTGCAACGTACAAGTTTGGCAAAGGTGCATAGGGTGCTGTAGGTGTATCTGAGCCGATAGCGAGCGGTGCGCCGTGTTCTGCGAAGTCGGAATATGCGAATGCTCGCTTCACTCGTTCGGGGCCAAGAAGTTTCGGCCACGCACGAAGAATGGCTGGATCGGAGTGTACTGGCTGTATGCTCGCTGTAATGCCCAGCTGGCCAAGTCGCTTTGCATCTTCCGGCGCGGTGAGTTCGAGATGCTCGATGCGGTGCCTTTGGCCATGGTTGCCATACTTCTCAAGGACGTTGACAGCGTTGTGAACGGCTTGGTCACCAATTGCATGTAATGCGCATTGCAATCCACCCTCGATTGCTTTTTTGACTACGGGATCGAGCATTTCAGGTGTCCAGATGGGACCCTCGAAATGACCATTAGACGTATAAGGTTCTGCTAACGCTGCAGTACAGGCATCAATAACTGATACGGAGTCAGTATATCACTCACATTTATTTCGTCACAACTTACCTCCATCGCAGATGACCTTGATACCAACGATCCTTAAATCGGGGCTCGTCTTGTTATTGAACTCTTGACTCAGCTTAATAGCACGCTCAACTTGCTGCAATCGATGCTCTTCTCCATCGCCTGGCATGATGCACCAATGGGCAGCGACTCGCAGTGGTAAACCTTCGGCAGATCGTAAAGCAAGAATAGCGTCCCAGGCATTTTCATCCATCGCCATATCGATACATCCAGTACAGCCAACCGCATGGTATGCTTTGATTGCAGTTCTCAAAGCCGACATTTTTTCATCTAGTGGCGTGACCTTTGCTAGATATGGCCAGACGATCAAAAGCACGCAAGCTTCGCTCAAAAGACCCGAAGCATTCCCGTCGGCATCTCTTTCGATCGTTCCACCAGCCGGCACCTCCATATCCTGAACACCCATCTCTTTTAACGCTGCGCTGTTACACCAACACGAATGGATGTCCTTGGAATCTATGTATATGGGTCTTCCCCCAACGTCAAGATCGTCCAGCATGCTCGCCTTGGCTTCCCCGTTAGTCATGGAATGCATCCAGCCTTTACACAGTATGCGCGGTTTTTCTGGGTTCTCTTTTGCATATTGTAAAATGCGCGATCGAATCTCCTCCAGATCCTTCGCATGATCTAGATCAACTTTGTGCAGTGACTGACCCAGCATCAAAAAGTGCCTAGAAGTCGGTGTGCGAAGTTAGCACTTGTCTCGCAAATAGTCTGTAGGAAATCACTTGCATGTGCGCATCGATGAATCCAGGAAGCACATGCTTCCCACCAAGATCGGTCACTTTCGCACCAGCATCGTGGTATGATTGAACGACTGGATCGTCAGAACTGCCAACAAAGCTGACCTTGCCATTTTGAATGGCCAACGTTGTGTGAAACCGTGCTTCCGGTTGCACCGCGCCGCTGTTCAAGAATCGACCGTTGGTAAAAAGCGTAGTATTGTGAATATCAGACATGACTGGAATCTGTAACTTGAGAAGATTGTGTTACACGAGTGACGAGGGGTAGCTATCTGATGGACGTGCTGGTGGAGCCTTAGATCCGGTTCATCGCCGGTACCCCACCTTCAGCTATCCTTATCAGGCCTGCGCCCTACGCCTTACCATTCCACCCTCCGGTGTCGCCTTGGACTTGAGAAGTCAGCAGGTCGGCCGAATTGATCATGGCAAGCGTACCAGACAGTACAACATACGATGAAGCCCGGAACGGCGCCGCCGCGTATCTTCAATCGAGACTTTCGGCCAAGGATCATGTCACCGATGAGAACTTTGAGATACCCATCATTGATCTGACTCCCTCATTTTCTGTCTCTCTTGAAAGCCGTAAAGCAGTCGCTGCCCAAATTCGACAAACGTGTGAAACCGTTGGGTTCTTCTACATCACAAATCACCAGATCCCCGAAGCAGCCTGTAATGGAATCTTGCGCCAAGCCGAACGCTTTGTGCATGAGCTCCCACAGAGTAAGAAGGAAGAGCTACATCTGAAGAACAACAAGTTCGGCCTGGGGTGGGAGCCAAGTGAATACACGTCGATCGCGGGTGACAAAGAAGAGAAAGAGGTGTTCAACTTCGCGTATGAGGCGGCGCTCGATCCTACTGGTGGCGATGGAAAATACAAAAATCTGGACGGGTCGACAGAGAAGGCTAACTTGTGGCCGAACGAGCAGGATTTGCCTGGGTTCTACCAGGTAAGTTGTACCTGAACGAAATGCATATGAGACGTCTACTAACTTCGTATCCTCACCTCTGCAGGGCGTCAAAGATTACTATGGCGCTGTAAGTCTTTTTGCATCCTCAACTCATCAAAGCGCCACGCGGGCATGCTAATTAGTAATTCTTAGGTACTTAGTCTCGCCCGTCATTTGTTCCGGCTGTTTGCACTCTCGCTCGATCTCCCTGAAGACTACTTTGACTCTATGACCACACACCCTGGTGGCATCGCGCGACTCCTCTACTACCCACCTCCTAGAAAGTCTCTTACAAATAACCCTGTACCAACACAAGAGGAGCAGATTGGGCTCGGTGCTCATTCAGATTACGAGTGCTTCACGTTGCTCCTCACTTCCGAGACTCCAGGTCTCGAAGTTTTGAAGCCTTCCGGTCAATGGCATATTGCTTCGCGGGTTCCTGGTGCCCTAATTGTAAACGTCGCTGACTTTCTGATGCGCTGGACAAATGGGCTCTATAAGAGTACGGTGCATCGTGTCGTGAACAGGAGCATGGAGGCGAGGTATTCTGTGCCTTTTTTCTTCAGTTGCAACTATGATACAGTAATTGAGACGTTGCCAACATGCCTAAAAGAGGGTGAGGAAAATCGATGGAAACCGGTCAGGGCCGGACAGTACATTCTGGAAAGGTTGAATGCTACGACGGAATATGGTGCAGGCTTCCAACAGAATGAAGGGAAGTAATAGCAGGATCGCGAAGACGAAACCCGGCCATGGGATCTATGTTAGTGAAACAGCAATTGACAAAGTATGTATCAGATTCCTGCGCGAGGTGTCCAAAATTAGGAAGATTACAGGGGGAAACACGACGCCACTGGTGACATCATCGACGCGCTACTGACGCGACTTCTAGGAGTCCTTGCGCACCTCATCAACAACATCGCTCTGACAAACGCAACGAGCTTCGTCTCATGCAACATGGCGAATCTGACGAGCTTCTATCATCTGCAAAGTTGAAATCATATGGATCTGAAGTACAGCTCTATCTGGGAAACTTATCGTGCTTGTGCCAGGCGCCCAAATCATAAAGCCTGTATTGCGAGAAGTGTTTACGGGGTTGCGAATAACAACATCCACGATATTTGCAGCGTACCACTTGACCAGACTTGCTGGAAATTGCACTCAAATGCGTACGAAGGACATGGTTCACAATCCTGGGTCAGAATGGTCCTTACTTTGGAGACTCCATCCAATCTAGGATCGACCTGACCTTCCTTACCGACACCGAGATGAACACGGGACACTATAACTAGGTTGGCAGTTACTACGTTGGTATCTCTCGCGTTCTTGACGAATGAGATGCGTCCCTTTCGTGCTGATGCGACCGAGCCATCTTGGTGCTCAATGGTCGACGCGCACAACGGTAACAGTACAGATACAAAAACCATTCAAACAAACTTCAGAGAGTTTCAGAATACTCACGGAACTTGAAACGGCTATAAAGATTCCCTATGCCACCTGCGAAGCGTAGAAAAACCGGCGGTGCAGAGATGAAGACAAAGACAAAGACCAGTGAGCGAAAGCCGCTCCCAGTGACTGTTCTCTCTGGGTTCCTGGTACGTGACAGCGAGATCTATGTAGCCATATGCTGACAACAGTAGGGAAGTGGTAAGACGACCTTACTCAGGCACATCCTGCAGTCACCGGACCATGGCTTGCGAATCGCCGTTATCGTCAACGACATGTAAGGAATCTCCCTGTATGAAATGCGTGCGAGACGTAGGCTGACTTCATATGTGCGTTTTCCAGGGCATCAGTGAATGTCGACGCGAACCTCATCAGCCGTGGAAACAGCAAGAACAACAACGGGGAGATCCGTGTCAAGGAGAAGGTAAGTCTTAACTATACAAACTGTGTATGAAACATGTACTAACTTCGTACCTCCACGTCTGTAGATGATTCAGATGGAGAACGGTTGCATCTGCTGCACGCTCCGCGGCGACTTGCTGGTTGAACTTGCACGCCTTGCTTGGAACGAACAAGGATTTGACCATGTGGTCATAGAAAGCTCTGGCATCAGCGAGCCACAACAGGTTGCGGAGACTTTTACGACAGAGCTTACTGAGGCAATGATCGACGCCGAAGGGATGGAACCTGATGAGAAGGAGGTATTCGCCAGGGTGTAAGTTACTGGTAGATGTTGCTTTCCAAGGTTATTGCTGACTTGGATACTTGGATTACAGCGCGAAGCTGGGCGGTTTGAAGGCCATTGCGACCGTCGATACTATGGTAACTGTGGTGGACGCCTTCCGCTTCTTTTCCGAATTCGATACTGCTGAGTTCCTGCAAGACCGTTTCGGAAGGGACGAGGTACCAGACGAAGACCAGCGGACTATCTCCGATCTCTTCGCCGACCAGATTGAGTTTGCCAACGTTGTCATCGTCAACAAGATCGACAGGGCAGATAAAGCAACTCTGGGTCGTGTCAAAGGCTACATCAAGTCGCTCAACCCAAAAGCTAAGATCATCGAATCCAGATATTCCAAGGTAGACGTCCGCGAGATGCTAGTAAGTTGTAGCCGTATGGAATTGAAGTGAGATATATACTGACTTCAATTCTCCATATCTGCAGAACACGGGAATTTTCAACTTTGGTGAGGCTGTCGCAAGCGTTGGATGGCTGCAGTCGTTACATGAAATGACAGTCATGGATGTTCATGGCAAGAAGCGTATCGCGCCTAGGCCGGAAACACTGGAGTAAGCCACCTTCTATCCAACGCTGTGCTTTAGCTTATCCGTATCCAGGTATGGCATCGGATCTTTTGTTTATCGCGCCCGAAAGCCATTCCACCCACTGAAACTATACAAGCTCATCGAGGGCAAATTCATCCTTTTACAAGAGGAGGCCGAAGATGTGGATGACGGCGAAGATGACGAAGAGGAAGATGAGAATGTGGTTGATGGTTCATCTGAATCTGGAAGGGCCAGCGTCTCTGGGGACGATTCCGATGAGATGAGCGATGACGACGCTGCCCCTCCCATGGATGACAAGCAAATCCTGGCCAACAAGAAGGCATGTGCTTACTTCAGTGGCTTGCATCGAAGCAAGGGCATATTCTGGCTCGCAACGCGTCCCAACCAAATGGGCTCATGGAGCAGCGCAGGCGCAATGCTGACGCTCGGATCTGAGATGCCATGGTTCTGCTGCGTAGCTGAAGAAGACTGGGGCGCCGACGACGATACACTAAAGGCCATCAGGAACGACTTTGAGGGCGAGTGGGGTGACAGGCGACAGGAGATCGTTTTCATTGGGGAGAAGATGGATGTTGATGGTTTGACGAAAAAACTCGATACGTGCCTACTTACTCGCAGTGAGATGAAGAAATGGGAGGAGGTTATGCACGGTGAGAAATCAGACGATGATGAGAAGGAAGAGACTCTGCAGGAGATTTGGGACGATGCTTATTGGGCCGAATGGCCACGTGCGCAAGATGAAGAGGAGCATGACCACGATCACCATCATGGCCACAAGCACTGAGCAATGATGTGGGCGTTGGCAGTGTCAAGTTACAGATTGTATGGGAGGAACCAGACGCTAGCAGTGATGTCATTCACGCTAGGGGAGCTTCTAGCCGAAGATTCCGCCAGTGACCATCAATTGGGCGCAGCTCTGGTTCCTTTATACATAAGCTTTTTACATGAGTATTGCGAGATGGAATATTTGACATAGAGAATGGAGATTTTGCTTAGTTTGAGAAGATCAAGCAGCTTGTTCATAGCTCTATTTGACAGACCAACTGTATTGCTCGAGTCGTTCAGGCTACGAAGGTAACGTCGTTCAACACCTGGCTGTTGAAGTTCGTTCAACGACTTCTCAAGATTTCGGAGAAACTACATTAGTATTTCCGCTAGTCGTTGATCCTGCAATTATTCACGCCCGTTACTATAGTGCTTGCCTAAAGCAGTTGCGGAGGCAAGCCCCCGCTTCAAATATGGCAATCCTTCCCCACAATCCCTCGAGCATGGCACATCTTATATAGATCGTTGTATCAGCATGTTAACATTGGAACAAATCATCTTCTTATTGCTATCCAAAATGGCGCTACCTTCAGTGTTTGTCGGACTGGCATTAGTCGGCTCCAGCTATGCGCTAGTGTCGCGAGACGGGACAGGCCGCCTACCTGCGATGGGTTGGAGTAGCTGGAACGAGTATGAATGCGCCATCAACGAAACCGTCTTCCTGGACACCGGTGCGCTCCTTATCTCCTTGGGATTGAAGGACCTTGGATACAATTATGTTAACATTGACGATTGGTAAGAAGTTGTGAAGGATTGCGTGAGACATACGCTGACCTTATATCTTCACCTCTGCAGTTGGAGTGACAAGGCATACCAGCGCGATAATGTTACAGGAAAGATTCGTCCAGATTACATCAAATTTCCAAACGGCATCAAACATACAGCAGACGAGATCCACAAGCTTGGACTGAAAATTGGCATTTACGGTGATGCAGGAGACAAAACATGCGGCGGGTATGCTGGCTCTCTTGGACATGAGCAAGTAGACGCGAAGACCTTTGCTGACTGGGGAATCGATTGTGGGCCAACCTAGTAATCACCAACATTCATTTACTGATTCAACGCAGATCTTAAATACGACAACTGCGCTGTCCCTGATGAATGGGACGACGAGTACCGATGGTGGCCAGAGAACTGGTTAGGTGGGCCGCCAGCCGAGAACCAGACTGCGGGCGGTGACGGGGAAGCCAGGCCTGTTGCCGCGCCCCCAGGATACGACTGGACAACGTCCAAGAGCTTTGCGCGTTACAAGATTATGAGTGATGCCCTAATTTCGACAAACCGTACTATTGAATACTCGCAATGTGCCTGGGGACATGCCCATATCGAGCAATGGGGTAACAGTACTGGTCACAGCTGGAGGATGTGGGGTGACATATATCCGGAGTGGCTTGAGAAACACCAAGTAAGTATTTGGCATATACGACGCATACAAGGCGCACACTGACTTGATGACGCCATCTTTTTAGTACTCTTGGGGACTCATGCCTATCCTCAATCATGTGAGTGGTTCTCCTAGCATGGACTGCATGTGAGACAGGTACTAACCACGTACACCGGTCTTTAGGCATCCTTCTACAACAACGATACCGACTTCTGGGGACATGGCGACTGGGATATGCTCGAAGTGGGTAACGGAAACCTTACAGTCCAAGAAAGCCGTTCCCATTTCGCTCTTTGGGCTGCTCTCAAATCGCCTCTTATCATCGGTACCCCGCTCCATGGCATCAAACCTGAGATCTTAGAGATCTTAAGTAATCCGGAGCTCATCAGCTTCAATCAAGATCCAGTCGTAGGTGCTGCAGCCAAGCCCTATAAATGGGGTGTCAATGCAGACTTCACCTGGAACCAGACTCATCCGGCTGAGTATTGGAGTGGGTTGTCTTCCAAGGGAGTGCATGTCTTCGCGCTGAATACACTGAATACAACTCAAACCAAAGTCATCAACTTCGCGGAGGTACCAGAGTTAGAAGCTAACGGTGAGTATACTGTCTTTGATTCGTGGACTGGAGAGGAGCAGGGAAACTTCAAGGGGCGGTACGAGGCCGCTGTTGAGCGTCATGACACTATGGCCATCAGACTGGTTGGAACGAACGGGTCTAGCTCTGGGATGTCGCACGGTCAATTGTGAGGCGCGCAATACGAATGAACAGTAGCGTTGAGACGGCAGGAAAACGCGGGGGTCTGTGCGCTTTTGACGCGACGTCGACGTGTCGGACTTGGGCGTCATTAATTCCGGGTATATACATCACCAGAACGGGCCTGCTGTGCATCTCATCTTCCAGTCACCTTTTTTTGGTCGCGCCTTCCTCCCACGCATTGATGCTAATGCGTACACCTAGTGGTTATTGATGCCTGCAGCGGATCAATAGCAAGTTCACAGCTAAAGAGCCAGAACTTGGTTCGTACCGATGATGGCGGCGACACCACCACCCACGATTTAGGACTTGAGCCTTTCTTGGGGCACATCAGTCTCTTCTGGTTTCATCGTCGCTGGATGCTCCGGGAAGTCGGACTACCATCAGAAGCCATCGCGATGTGTGGCGCGAAGTCGATTGAGTTCCAAGAATTCGTGCGTCGCGTTGAGAGTCTGCAGCGGTCATCTCTAGCTCCTTCGATGACTTTCGCCTCCGATGGCAAAGTAGTGGTCGAACGCCTTCGGCCCATGGCGAACCTGCAACTCTCTTATCGAGGACTGTCCCTTCTCAGGTCAATTATGGATCTCCTGCTTGGCTTTACTGCAGCACGTCAACAGCCAAGAAATGCGCATCGGTGCCTCGACTACGCTTGGAGAACGCGTCTATCAACCTTTTACTTTGCCGCAATGTCGACACGAGCCCTACAAGGTACGTTATAGTGGATGACTGTCACGTTCCGCAGCTCGTTCGTGGTCACGCCCAACGGGCACTTGCTCTAGAGGACCTCAGCCCCTACAAAGTCGTGAGAACTTCCACCCAACATACACGAGAAGTAGTTGGTTCTTGTGATTTGTAGAAGGAAGATGTTCCAAGAGTGATGGCAGAGCGACATAGAGCGATGATACTTGTGGGCATGCGAGCTAGTGCCAGATCCACACTGCGTCATTTACAACCGACTTTCGGTCGCAACAACCGGAACGCGTCCAGCATGCATGCTGGTATATGAGCGGGGTAACGCATATCTCGTATTGAACGACTTGCTTGTTGCAAAGACACGGCATCGGGATGCAGGTCTCATTCTCCGAGGCTAAATACAACAGGATATTCTCCGGATCTACTCCGGACTAAGTGGCGTGGAGAAGCTACCCGATATGCAAGACATCAAGCGACAAGTCTAGGATCTGCACAGCGCTGATCGAGTAAAGAATGCGGGGTGTTCCGCACTCGGTTTTCAACAGGCTCAGGTACAATTTGATCCATCAATGAAAGTCTGTATCGACGTATGTATGGAGCTAAGAACTCAGGTACATAACCTTAGTACTTTCGCAATTCAATCGATGTTCGCAGTCTGATCTCATCAACAACAAACGCCTCAGAGCACATATCAACCCAGATGTTGATAGTAGCGATCCTGGCAGTTGTTCCGGGGGTTATTCCCTTGGTAGTAGCGAACAGCACTCGCCTCTGGTACAAAGCTCCTGCCGACTCGGATGCATGGACAGATGCGATACCGATAGGGAACGGCCGTCTCGGCGGCATGGTGTTTGGGATACCCGTACAAGAACGCATACAATTGAACGAAGAGACTGTCTGGTCTGGTAGCCATCGTGACCGTCTGAACCAAGACAGCTCGCAAACAGTCTCAGAAGTTAGAGATTTGCTTACACGAGGTCAGGCTGGGGATGCAGAGAAGCTGGCGAACTTGGGCATGATGGGCAAGTAACATCTCTGTACCGAATTCATGCGAGATCAATACTGACTTAGTGCACCTGTCTTTAGGCACGCCCCAAAGTTGTAGGAATTATCAACCACTAGGAGACATGGACATCTTCTTTGATGGCACTAGCGAGTACGATAACACGACGTACGAACGTTGGCTGGATCTTGAGACTGCTGTGGCTGGTGTAAGGTTCAATGTCAACGAAACAATTTACGAGCGAGAGGTCTTCGTATCAACACCGGACGATGTTCTTGTGCATCACTTTCGAACAACCGGACCTGATAAATTGTCATTTCAAATGCGCGTACACCGACCGGAGGATGGTGGCAATGAGGCCTCAGACCAAGATTGGAACGAAAACGGTGTCACATACATGACTGGAGCGACCGGTGGCGTCGATCCTATTGTGTTCACAACAGCTTTGGCAATAAACACTGATGGTAATGTCAAAACGCTTGGTGAATTTATTGTTGTCGAAAACGCTACGGAAGCGACTGCTTTCTTCACTGCTTCTACCTCATATCGGCACAACAATACACGGATGGCTGTGGACAGCACTATGCAGCTAGCTCGCTCCCGCCCGTACACCGAGCTTCGAAAGCGCCATATCGGAGACTATGCGCCACTCTACAACGCTAGTATTCTGGAACTGAATGGATCTGATGCGGAAGCTAGTAGTCTACCAACAGACGAGCGAATCAACGCTACACGCGAAGGTTCCATTGATCCAGGGTTGACCGCCCTATCATACAACTATGGTCGCTACCTACTGATATCGTCATCGCGTAATGGGACGTTGCCTGCAAATCTTCAAGGCATCTGGAACAAAGAGTTCGCACCGCAATGGGGCTCCAAGTACACCGTCAACATCAACCTTCAGATGAACTATTGGCCAGCCGAAGTCACTAGTCTATCAGATCTACACGCACCCCTGTTTGACCTTCTAGAGATCATGCGCAAGGACGGTACACATACCGCTAATGAAATGTACAATACCACTGGATGGATGAGCCATCATAACACTGATCTTTGGGGGGACACTGCGCCTGTCGACAGGTGGCTACCAGCCACGTACTGGACCTTGTCTTCCGGATGGCTTGTTACGCACATACTGGAGCATTATTGGTACACTGGCGACAAGGACTTTCTAGTTTCGAAGTTGGCGACAGTCTCCGAGGCCATCGAATTCTACCTCAACACACTACAGCCATACAGCATCAACGGGACGGAATATCTTGTGACCAATCCATCGGTATCCCCGGAGAATACTTACATCGGTTCGGACGGGAAATCATATCACTTCGATATCTCGCCGACATGCGATGTCGAGATCCTCAATGAACTATTCACAAACTACATTCGTGCGGTTGCCACCCTCAATAATGCCACCACAAACACATCTTTCCTCAGTCGCGTCCGAGAAACCCAAGCCCGGCTTCCTCCATATCGCTACTCGACGCGTTATCCTGGCACGTTACAGGAGTGGATGCAAGATTACGAACAAGCAGAACCAGGCCACCGCCACGTCTCGCACCTATACGCCCTATATCCCGGTACCCAAATCCTTCCACCCGGTGCTCCAGGCTACGACGCCAAGCTTTTCAATGCCGCGGCTGCGACTCTCGAAGACCGACTTTCTCACAACGGCGCTGGAACGGGATGGTCGCGCGCATGGACAATCAACTGGTACGCGCGGCTACAAAACCGCACAGCGCTGGCAGAGAACACGTACCAGTTCTTCAACAGCAGTGTTTACAACAACTTGATGGATGTGAATGAGGGCGTTTTCCAGATCGATGGGAACCTGGGCTTCGTTAGTGGTGTTGCGGAAGCGCTACTCCAGTCGCATATTGTGGATGAGGAAGGCGTACGGGAGGTATGGCTACTACCTGTGCTGCCCGAGCAATGGAACTCTGGGAGAGTGTCTGGGCTTGTGGCTAGGGGTGGGTTTGTGTTTGATATTGAATGGGTAGAGGGCAGAATCAGCAGGATGAAAATTCTGAGCCGTGTCGGTGGCGTCGTAGTGATCCAATATGACGGAGGATCCGAAAATGGCACAGTAGCTGGTGAGATGATTACGGCGAGTTCTGGGGTGATTCAAGCGGTTTCTGGTGGGAAGATAAGGCTGGACACAAAGGCGAGCCAGACGATGGAATATGAGTTCATGTGGTGAGCACAGCACTTATGATCCTAGTTCAACGCACTCTCGCGATAGCAATACATAATGCACGTCGGTTTGTGTAACTCTGAAAATTCGGGATAGAGTCGTTCGCAGTACCACAAAGCATTCTGTGGAATGCGCATGTACTAGCTGAGGGGCCTTCAGCACGCACCTCCGATGCCTTGGACGACTAAGACTACGCTGGGTACCTCCTCGTGCATTCTACGGCTCTACCATGTCCTCTAGGGGTCTACTAATGTTAATTGGAAAGCAAGCTGATGCAAAGCTCGGTCAAAACCATTATTTACTAACGCTGAGCCCAGGTGTTCGACTAGAAACCGACTTCCAACAAGCCTATAAACACCACGTCCAATCAATTCCTACCAAAATTTGCGCACCGATTGACAACAGTCCTTCCAGCTACTCAAATTTCTACACACCGTTACCCCACCTTGGTGCGTTGAGGATTATGCCCATCAAACACCCGGAGATGATACCAGCGCAAGGGAGAGTGATGATCCAGCCCATGTAGATCCATGCAACCATGCGCCAGTTGATCGTTCTCCACGTACCATTACAAAGACCGACACCAACAGTGGCGCCAGTAATACATTGAGTAGTCGAGACAGGGAGCGCAAGCTTGGTAGCCAAGATCACAGTGATCGCCGCGCCCAACTCCATCGAAAATCCACGTGCTGGCGAGTGCAGAGTAATCTTATTTCCAAGAGCTCGCATGATGTTGTAGCCGTAAGTCCAGAGACCAACAACAATACCGGCACCTCCGAAGGCGAGAATCCAGAGGGGAACAGGAACCTTGCTGGAGATCTTGCCGGTTGACCAGATGAAATAGATGGCCGTGTATGGTCCGATGGCGTTGGAAACGTCGTTGGCCCCATGAGCAAAAGAGGCAGTAGATGCAGTCATGATTTGCAGGAAAGAGTATGTGTATTCAGCTCTGTTGTCGTAGTGCTCGCCAGTAGCGTGGACCTTCTCGATATCGCCAGACAGGAAATCTTTGTGGCTTTGTTGAGAAACAACATCTTGTTCAACACCGTGAAAGACTGCATACTTGATCCACCAGAAAGCAACGGCGGGGGTGTACCATGGACCAGGGGGAGGCTGCTTCTTAGGTGTTGAGAGTTGCTTCGCAGGAGTGGCAGTAACTCGATGAGTAGATTCGATAGGGACAATATCAGAGTCGGAGCTAGTGGCCTCCGCGGTTGTAGAGTGAATGGCATCCTTCTCAATGTCATCGTGTATGGGTCGACCTTCTCCAGCGCGCTTTGCCTCGAGCTCCTCCGCGGTAAGATGTCCGGCATAGAAGTCAGGGATGTTGCCAACAGCCATACCCTCTGGACATGGGGTGGGCTCGGGGCGGCGGAGGAGGAGAGGACCTTGAATTACTTGCCAATCCTTGAGTTCCCAGTCACCCTTGATGATGCGACGGTACAGGAAGGGAATGAAGACTTCGGTTTGAAGGTCAGCAGACAGACTAGGGCAACTGAGTGGCCCGAGGACTTACATGTAGCAACCACAAGGGCAACGACTACACCAACAACGATGGAAACCCACACAGCTTGGATGTCGGTAAGGTCTATCTTCGCAGAACCACCCTTCCAGCAGATGAGGAGTGACAGCAGGAAGGCGGTGACGAAGAAGTAGACTGGAACCATGAAGAAAGCCTTATAAACCGGATTGTTGCGGCGCATTACACCGTACTTGGTGATCAAGAATATGATAGCACCAAAACCACCAGAGATACCAGGAGCGATACCCCAGGCAGCGAAGACCTGAGATACACCTTTGAACGACCAGTTGATCCCTTGGGGGCCAGAAGCGGCAATACCAACACCGATGACACCACCCATTATCGAGTGTGTTGTGGATACAGGCATGGTAAAGCGTGTGGCAATTGTGAGGTACGTCGCAGATCCGACAATGGCACACATCATGCCCAACATGAGCACTGATGGGTCCTAAATTTTCATGTACGTATCAGCCAATGATTCACATTCGTTTTGTTGGCATCGTTGAACTGTATCCCTGCTGACGACGAGGCGAGCTCGGTTGCACTTGCGGTGAGGGGATACTACTCACATCTTCGAACAGTTTTGTGCTAATGACCTTGGTTCGGATGGTATCAGTGACGCGAGAACCGACCAGCATCGCTCCAGCGAATTCCATCACGGAGGCAATGCACATGGCTTGCTTGAGAGACAATGAACGACTGGCCACAGATGTGGCGAATGAGTTAGCTACATCGTTGGCTAGAGTTTATGATCAGTAAAGTTTACTCATGTGCTTGATGTATTCAAAACAAACCTCCAATGTTCCACGCATCCAGAAATGCGAAGAATGTGCCAATGGCAAAAATGTAATCGAACTGTGGAAGGGCCGGCATCTTGATGACCTATGGTCCTAATGGACTAGTGGTGCTGAGCGAATACTGCTTGAGTTTCACCTCGACGAGACACGATACAATATATATAACTACCATGCCAACGTATGTTGGGATCCCGTCATTCAGCCATGGAGAACCTTGTAACGCAGTACTTTAGGCTTCCAACCAACCAGCGCTCGTAGTCGTCTCATGTGCGCCTCCAGAACATCATCTTGGGAGTGGCACGGCGCCAGGAAAGCCTCGTCAGCCCGAGTACGCTTCTGGGCAGCTTGGACGATATGGTTCTCACTGAAACCCAGAGGCTGGTTGGGGCTTCCAACGATGGGTGCTGTCCTATTTGGCATCTCCGCCGACATGTAATTGTGTAGGATGGGAGGATTCGCTTGGCGCCAGGATTCCGCTCGAGACTAGTGCCCGCTTTGGGTTAGCTGTGGTGGTGACGAAGAGCCAATCGCAACTACCACCTGGAGCACGGGTTGTCCATGATAATCGTGGACGGTATAGAAGGAGAAAGTAAGACCAGAGCGGGGATCTTGGAACCAAGAGTAGTTCGAAACCAATAAACCACTTAGGTGTCCTGTCCTTGTCGAACTTCCGCGTTTTCAATACTGGATTCAAGACAGCGATCGTGAATACTAAGGGGCGTCCAGGAGCTGAATACATGGAAGGTGTCTGGAAATGCATGAGATGTTCCTTGCTCCACATGGGTCACCACACCACCGGCGTACTTGGTTGTCGACCATAGGATCATATGAGCTGATCGTTGGTTATGTCTATAACAGGAAGGCGATATGTTCCGCCCCAAAATCGAAAATTTGAGTTCTTTCCCTGGTCAGCTTCAAATAGCTTCTCAGCCGGTCCCTGATTGGAACGAGGTTGAGATTGGGGTATTGACTGCCTGTGTTTGTCCTGATGTGATCATGGATGCCTCAAGCCTGAGAACTGGTGCACTGTACATCCAGAGCACGCGAGCTCGGATGAAGACCTGTAAAAACTACGAAAAAGCCCGCTGACAACCAGAGGCATGATAAGGTCCACACTTATGCGCCTGACCACCCGTGCGAACATGCAACAAATGACAAGAGGCGCCAATGTGGCTGTCTTGTCAGTACAAGCGCGCTTGGTAGGAACGCCCTGCTGAAACGATATCTAGCCAAGACATGATATGCGCCCATTTAGTGGACTGATGTTCCATTGTCGAGAACCTGCGGGCCCTAAGGCGCATACTGGCTGAGGCGTATGTGTCTTTGTATGTCCAGTAGACTGTCGATGCCCAGTTTTTCGAGGACTCAGTCGATTGTATACGAGTGGAAAAACGGCGGTCAATTCGCGCCGTATTGGATGGTTCTCTATACTCCTTGCTTCGTGCACATCAACATGGAAAATGGGAAGCATATACATGCCGACGTGTATAGAATCGGATTGACCAACTGTATTTGCTCCTCGAGTACGATACATACACTTGTTTGGTCTGTTTCAGGCACAAAGAGAGATCTGAAAACTCACAGGAATATCGTCGTACTTGAGCCCGTACCAGTCTTCACGGGCATCCTCCGATTTGTAGAGCGAGGAGATAGGATACGATGTTGGAACTGGTGAGCACGCAACGGCGCATGAGGTTCGCTCGTGTGATATCCCACAATGACCATACTTATTAGGAAATGGACACGCGATCATATTTGGTTCAGGGCATCGGAGGATTCCGTCAAGAGCAAGCGTGCATGGGTACTTCAGTACACACAGACTATTTGGTTATCATATATCCTGCTTACCGAACCTTTTTTGAAAATTTCGAGTTATGTTGTGTCGTCCTATCGAGGGGTTCGGCGAAGGCAAGGAATCGGACAGGAGCTTTGAGGTGGTTTATGGATGTAAGACAGCTCCGTGGACGATGAAGCTTGAGAGAAGTGTTGAAGGCGGGGAGCGCTAAGCCCAAGACAGGTGCAAAATGGAAAGCGCGCGGCCTAGCGCGAAATCGCGACGAAAGCGCGTCCTTGTCTCCCCTAGCGACGACGTGCCTGCCCCTCAAGCAACACCAACCCTCACGATTGACAATAGACGACACATAGAATGGCGGACAGACAAACACCTTTTTCCATCAGTCTCTTCGGCAGCCAAGCCGGCGATGGCCCTCAAGATGCAGCTGCGCCTTCGCGCGTACAGCAGGCGCTCGTCGACTTTATCATGGACTTTACTCTTGACAACATCTTTGTCTACCGGTAGAGAAGACTGTTCAATGCACCGAATGCGCTCCTCTAACTAGTCGCAGAGATCAAATACGCGAGAACGTGCTCTTGAAGCAGTACTACTGCGATATCGATGTCGCGCATCTCATCAGCTACAGTCCAGAGCTTGCACACGATCTCAGACAGAACCCAGCAGAAATCATACCCCTCGTATGTGGCACAGCCCAGTATTGCGTGTGCATGCTGACAAAAACTAGTTCGAGTCCGCATTAAAGTCGTGCACACAGCGCATTGTTTACCCCTCACAAAAGAACATTCAGCTCCCTGAGCACCAGCTGCTCCTCCACTCGAACGCTTCTGAACTTTCAATTCGCGACCTGACCGCAACCAACGTTTCCCAACTCGTTCGCATACCCGGCATCATCATCGGTGCCTCGACGCTCTCGTCCAAATCAACAGCGCTCGCCATACGATGCAGGAATTGCCAGCACGAAGAAATCCTTCCTGTATCAGGTGGCTTCTCAGGTGTGTCTCTCCCAAGGACATGTGGCAGGAAGCGAGGAGAGGGGGAGAGCGGAGAACAGTGTCCGCTGGACCCTTACTATGTCATGCACGAGCGCTGTCAGTTCATCGACCAACAAGTGCTCAAGCTGCAGGAGGCGCCCGATCAGGTTCCAGTCGGTGAACTACCACGACACATCATGATATCTGCAGACCGCTATCTGGCGAATCGTGTCGTCCCAGGTACACGGTGCTCGGTCATGGGTGTCTTTTCTATTTACCAGCAAAAGGGTTCTAAACGTGCTGGCAATGCCGCAGTAGCCATTCGTAATCCATACATCAGGGCAGTTGGCATTCATGCAGAAGTCGACCACGGCAGCAAAGGCAATGCTGTCTTCACTGAGGAAGAGGAGCAAGAGTTCTTGGAGATGAGCAGGAGACCCGATATCTATGAGGTCTTTGCACGTTGCATCGCGCCCTCCATCTACGGAAACCAGGACATCAAGAAGGCTATCGCTTGTTTGCTCATGGGTGGTGCGAAGAAAATCCTGCCGGACGGAATGAAGCTTCGTGGAGACATTAACGTGCTTCTCCTTGGTGATCCTGGTACTGCCAAATCTCAACTCTTGAAGTTCGTTGAGAAGGTCTCGCCAATCGCAATTTACACTTCTGGCAAAGGATCCTCAGCAGCCGGTTTAACAGCATCTGTGCAGCGCGACCACAATACACGAGAATTCTACCTCGAGGGTGGTGCCATGGTCCTAGCTGATGGCGGCGTAGTGTGTATCGACGAATTTGACAAGATGCGCGATGAAGATCGAGTAGCCATCCACGAAGCCATGGAACAACAAACCATTTCCATCGCCAAAGCAGGCATCACCACGATTCTCAACTCGCGAACCTCGGTGCTAGCAGCCGCTAACCCTATCTTTGGCCGCTACGATGATATGAAGACACCTGGTGAGAACATCGACTTCCAGACTACCATCTTGTCACGTTTCGACATGATCTTCATCGTGCGCGATGAGCACGATCGCGGTCGTGATGAGCGGATAGCAAAGCACGTCATGGGCATTGCGATGGGCGGTCGAGGTGTTGAAGAGACAGTGCAGGCCGAGATTCCAATCGAGAAGATGAAGCGCTACATCACATATTGTCGGCAAAAGTGCGCACCGCGTCTGTCGCCCGAGGCGGCAGAAAAGCTTTCCAGTCACTTTGTTAGCATTAGGCGGCAAGTGCATGCTTCGGAGATCAACGCAAATCAACGCTCGAGTATTCCCATCACTGTCCGTCAACTAGAAGCTATCATTCGTATTACCGAGTCGCTAGCCAAGTTGTCGCTGTCGCCCATCGCAGACGAGTCACATGTAGATGAGGCAATCCGTCTTTTCCTCGCTTCTACCATGGACGCAGTAAATCAAGGTGAAGGCCAGAGCTCGAAGGAGCTTATGGATGAAGTCAACAAAGTCGAAGAAGAACTCCGACGACGTATGCCTATTGGATGGCAAGTCAACCTGTCTACGCTCAAGCGTGAGATGGTGGATGGAAAGGGTTACTCGGAGCAAGCACTTGCTCGCGCACTGCATGTCATGAATGCACGTGAGACGATCAGATGGAGACATGGCGGTAGTGTAGTGTTCAGGGCGAGCGCATAGGCTAAGGACATGATTTGAATGGGCGAAATGGCGTCTAGCGTTTGTGGTGTTTGCATATGTGTTGTGGGTGATTTGAGTAGAGTTTTCGGGCAGGGCGCACACTGGAAGTGCTTCACAACGAGGTTCATGGAGCGTTGGCAACGCAGAGCTGTATTACGACGTCTTTCATCGAGATGTTCCCTGGATAATTCCACCAGACGTTTTCTCTCTCACGCTATATAAGGCTGGATATCCAGCATGGGTACTGTAGGTCATCTATACTGTCTTTACCCGCTCTACTAGTGTGAAGGGAGTATCGAGATACAGCCCTTGAACTTTGAAGATGCCGACATACACTGTTATGGCATTGACTATGCCATGGAACTGTCCGCTGTCGACCGTTCGCTCTACTGCCAGAGCGCGATGGGTCCTTGGCACGCTGTCTTGCATGACGAGTCGCTTCCGCCGCTCGCTGATGGTGGCATGAGTTGTCGGAGTGAAGAGTTGATCCGATCCGCTCCGAGCTCGGCGTCGCTCGGGGAAAGTCGTCGGCTGATGGTTCGATCTGATAACCCAGGATCTTCATCTGATAACACTCGTCCACCTCATTCGTACCTCACGCCGCAGGACGTCAACATGTCCAACGACGCTGCTGCACCCGAGAACGCCAACACTCCGGTTTCAGATCACAATTACAGTGCTGTTTCATCGCCCGCAGCATCTCCTGAAGGCAGTGCATTCGGGGCTGCAGGCTCTGATGACCGCCGCTCCTCTACCAGTCGACGTAAGTAGCACTTTTGCTTTTGCCGTGTACCATGTGCCAGCGGTTCGCCGCGGCTGTCGGCTGCAAGACATGTCGCAACCGCGTGTCTGACCCTCGCCCGCTTCACGACAACTGACAGCCGCCCAGACCTCATTCCAAAGGCCCAGCCGACCTCATTGACCGCCGCCACGTTGTCTGCCACCAGCAACACAAATGGCCCCTGCCTGTCGGGCGGGGGCCCTGCGAGCAAGCACCACACCGTCCCGCCCCGCCCCAAGCCCGGCCGCAAGCCTGCAACTGAAGAGCCTGAATCTAGGCGGAAGGCTCAGAACCGTGCATCGCAGCGCAACTTCCGCGAACGCAAGCAGAAGAATGTCCAATCCCTGATTGAGACTGTCAACAGAATAACCCAAGAGATGAAGGACAACAGCAGCGCGTACGAACGCTCCTTGCAGCATATGCAAGAGCAGGTGCACTACCTCGAAAACCGTAACAGAGCGCTAGAGGAAGAGTTGAAGATGTACAGACAAGCCGGTACCCCAGATACTCAGGGCCTTTCCATGAACCCTCAGCATGCGTCTCACGAGGAAAAACACGAGTTTGATATGATGCGTGGAATCCCACCCCACGATCAGCCACTTGAGAACATGCAGTCAGGCTGTGACCGGTGCACCCCCGAACATTGCGCATGCCTCGCTGATCTTACCCATGACTTGCAGTTCTCGGGCGAAGCTATGACCGGAATTCTTCGCGATGGCCATGAGGACTTGGAAGACGAAAAGCATCCTCACGTGGAATATGAGGTCGACTTCACCGAGAAGTTCAAAACGAAGCACCACGCCGCTGCATTTGCGCCCCCAGTGGAAGAGGCCAAGATTACAGACTGTGGCTTTTGCGAGGGACAGAAGGATATATGCATATGCGACCCTCCTACTCGTGTAGACAGTGCCGACGAGTCATCCTCACTGGCGCATAAGCCGAGCGGCTCCTCGGGCAAAGACGTCAAGCCTAAGATGGCTATGACTGGACCAGGCTCTTGCGCTGATTGCCAGTCAAATCCCCAGCAGCGAGCATGGTGTCAAAGGGTTGCTCAGCTCCGAAGTGAAGAAACCCCTTCGAGTTCACGTCGCAATTCAAGCAAGAGCAGCTCGCTCGACGTAATGGAACCCAAGGTCTCCACTAGCATTGACATGAGGGCTGGTTTCTCATCACCCGTGGGTACTGGAAGAACGGTCGGTTGCAGCGAAGCCTTCAAGCTACTCGACGGCCGCGTCTCAACGGACCCGAACGATATGGACTGGCGTCAACTGAAGCCCGTTCCACAGACATTTGCACGACAAGAGGCTCGCAGAGACACATTCACCATGGAACCCGGCATGTACAGTGCGATGGAGCTAGATGCAAGCAGCATTCTCACTACTCTTCAACACGCCCAGCGCCCTCTGAGGCCACGCCCGTCTGACGGCCCCCATGCACCACTGATCGAGGAAGCTGAGGAACGGCGCAGAGCGTCTTATTCGCCCATGACCAAAGTCGAGGACAATGCCATGCTTGATGCTGTTTCGCATTACAATATCGGCCGATAGCACTCTGCTCACTACAGTGTTTGATCTACCACACATTTCCTTTAGCATTTCTGTCCATCATTTGCGGTGCTGGCATGCACTTCAATTTATATGTTGTCCTGCATCATCTCTCATGTGCATAGAGCCATGAGCAAACTCACGAGTCTGAACACTCTTTACGATGCAAGGACGGGGATGATACCCTTTTACTTTTCAAACCCTTTCTTACTAGTTCTGTAGAATATGCAGGTGGTTACTGCAACCAACGACTAGATTAATGACGAATTGAGACGAAACTCCCAACGCAATCGGCGTTGATGATCACATGATACTCTACGATCGATATGCGTACTTGCTCGTGACTATCGCTCTATCCTGTCTTGCTCTCAGCTCCAGAGGAGCGAGTCGAACAGCCGTGCGTGCTCAATTTCGCGGCTTGGCTAATCAGCGTGTGGCTTTGGCAATCAGACCATCACGGAACTTGCATTTCCATCTTCCGAGTTCAGACCGTCATTCTGACTCGACATCAGCCACTTAAAACAAATCTGTCTACGTGTACACTATAGAGTTTACACCGCCAATATAGGCTGGAGATGGTTCGGGGCTGGCTTCGCGCTGTGAATGGTGACAGAGGATTTCGGCTTCGCATCTTATCTGATGATCTGATAAAAATTCTGCTGCGCTAGTCCTTGAAGAAGCAAGGCGAGCTGCGTGCGGGGAAAACCTTCACCCGCGCCTTTGTCCTGAGAAATACAATCGAAACAATATGGCACCATGCCGGTCATTGAAGAGATCATGAAAAAAAACTAGCAATGCACCATATCGAAGTCTGGGACGCGTCCTCGCAATTCACCAACCTCCGAACTTCCCTTCCGCATTCCACTCCACTGGGAGATCGTCTCTCCTTGCCGATATCCAACATCGGCCTTTCTATATTCCTTTGCACATGCCATAATCCCTTGTCCACTTCCTTCTTACTCTCTCTCGACAGTATCGCTACTTCTTCGTGCCATTAACAACAATCTCGTTTCCTTGTCCAGTCCACTGACCATGCGGTCCAGCCCTTACCGCAACCTATAACACCATGTTATACTTTATTCCAGATACACTAATCGTTCTAGCAAGGGAGCCACATACCTGCACATCGACCCCCCATCGCTGCGCGTTCGTAAGAGCAACATTGGCAGCTTCTTGCTCGAGAGTTGTTGCGGCCTGTGCCAGCTTGCCACCTATTGCGCAAAGTTCTCCACCTAACTTATTGAGGTCGGCGGCGAGCTTGAGGAGGCTGTCGGGGGTGTTGTGCGACATGATCAGTAATATAGGTGGGTTATTCGTGAAGTTGTAGATATAACTATTAGTCAACTCGATCTTGAGCTACCAACGTGCTGATTGTAAGTTATGATCACGAGCGAAGATGTTAAAGCTGGTCGATAGTCGAGAATTAGAAGAGCAAGGACACCAACATGTAGTAATGAGGTCGTACGTAACAGCGGTGATATAGAGTGCTGGTTTGTTTGCTCAACTAGGTTACGGCGTCAGTCAATGAACGAGCATTCCATGTTGGCGCGAACACTGCCAAAACAACGACGCTGAAACTCATAGACGAGCAAATTCGTCGGCGTCACATTCCAAGATTTCAATGGCTGAATGATTGTTCAGTCTTCACACGCAATGTTCGCTACGTGCGTGCTAGTATCAGCGCGATGTTTATGGATAGTATTTGAGCTTTAAGTGTAGTTCAAATCATTGGTAAGAGATATTATACTCAAGCCATTGTCCATTCCAGATACTATATTTGAACGATTCTCACCCAGACACAATGTCATCTTCCTCAAACAGACACACGCTCGCGTTCACTGTGGCTCAACGCGATGCAGATTACCGGTACAGCCAGCAACTCACGGATTTGCTCAACAAAATTAGCGAGCTCAATAGGACTATTGGCGAGACAGCTGCGGAACACCGACGTCAGTCAATACCGCCATGTGTGTCGCTACCACTGACGCATACGAGGCGAAATCTCGATACAAGCCCGAGCAATGACATGTCTCAATATGAAGGTGATGTGGATTACGTACAAACTTGATCCAATAATCAAAGTAGATGCTATCACAGCGGACAGGATGAGCAGGATGTTTCCAGAGATTGCAGAGTTCTTTACACTTGATTGAGGCATGGAAGATAGTTGAGAGCACATCTTGAACGTACTATGCTTCGACATGCATGATGAAGAAATCCCAAAGTCGATGATATAGTACCGTATCTTGATATCATAATTCTCAACCAAGTCTAGGATCGTTCTTGAACAAAGCAAGACGCGCAAGTCGCCTTCGCTCTGGTGCACTAACTGAAATGACTCTCTCCCCTCCAGTTTCTTTCGACTGTTGTGACTCCTCCGTCGCTTGACTCGCGTTTTCCCCTGCCGTCTGGAGGTTTGCTTCCACTCTTCTCTGCACATCGCGCATGTACAATCCCTTATCCATCTCTTCGTCTTGGTCTCCCACAGTCAACTCACGCACCTCTTCATCGAGCTTCATCTTAGTCTCTCGTATTATCTCCGCTTTTCTTTCTCGAAGTGCAGCTTCACTCCGTGCTAGCGCTTCGCGGGTCTTTTCGCAATTTGCCAATTCGGCTTCTATCATGCAAAATTCAGCTTCTGGTGTAAGAGATATTGGGGTTGTTGTAGCCACCGCTTGAGGGAGGCTGAGGGGTATGCGTAGCGCCGGATGTGTAGAGTTATCTTCTTTCAATGTTTTTGGATGCATGGTTGGAACAGAAAGAGGACCATCGGGGTTCTCTTCTGGTCGAAGCGCCGTGTTTCGTTCGTCGAGCAAAGGTTCCAGAACGCCGTCTTCTGCATTTTGCTCACCTTCGGCTAGAGCGCGCGACATAACGGGGTGAATAAGGTATGCTAATGAGATGGTCATGACTTCCGCTTCTTGTAGCAGGCAGCAGGGCTAGAGGTCTCGAACGCATGGGCAAACTGAGGAGTTAGTTTGCGTTTGCTATGACTGTTGGTCACTGTGGACGCACTGGCTTGCGGTGTGAATAGTGTGCTATCACACTGTATAGTTATAGTACGTTTGCTTGGACTCAGATTCTGTATATTGGTTTACGTTACACACTGAGGGCTTGCACGCTTTCACGTGAACCGCTCAGCGAGTACCATGAATGCGGTATCTACGCCATAGACTCTCTTCGCATGGTCGCCAGTATATCCAACACAGCCTGTCTTGTATCCTTCTTCTTTAGACTCTTCACCAATACATCCTGCTCGCTTTCAGGTGCCATGCCGGCCGTTTCAGGCACCCTCCTATCGAGGTTGGTCGGAAATGGGTCTAAAGTAAGCGTATCAAGTCAGTATGTGTCTCGAAAGCAGACCTATAGACACATTACTCACATCCTTCTGCGACAACGCTCACGAGGGCTCTAAGTTCGTCGCTGAGCCCTTCCTTTTGATACATCGTGGACATCGCATCCCACGTCTTTTCGACAAGTGCGTGTGTATCGACAGACTCCATTGGCTTACCAAAGGCTGACCTATATTGACACATGTGAAGTCAGTGTTTGTCTTACACGCAGCTTGTAAAAGAAGATATCTTACGATATTTGCAGCAAGTTGGCTGATCGATTGATATCGGCCGAGTCATTCTGTCCCGCGGCATGGAACAAAGCTGGATTGAAGAACAGCCCGTCACCCATCTCCAGTGGCATAGATACATACTTCTCCAGAAAGTAGTCTGCAAACTCCGGAATACGATACGCCATGTAACCCTCCTCGAACTTTTGACTGAACGGCAAAAGCCTAGTCGGCCCACTCTCTACCGGCATAGCGGAGTGCGCGACTGCTCCCTGAAGTGTGAGAAACTGCGATGCAACTTGCATTGCCTTGGGAAAGCTCTCGCACGACTGATTGTCTTGAAAACCAATGTGGTAGTCTCTATGAGAGATCTGAGCCTTTGCGCCCGGCTTCACGATGTTGACTTGTGAAGTCAGGCGATGATGTGGACCCAGCCATGCCTCAGAGATTAGCGGCAGCCATGGGTTTGCGTAATATGTTGCAAAAGATTCCGGATCTTGTAGGCAGTGCTTTGAGAGCGAGTTCCAGATGCGATCGTTTGCTCCAGCTCCGGCAAAGTGGTCACCGCGTTTGCCAGCCACTTTCTTTTCTTCTGCGATAATGTTTGCGTAAACCCTATTTACTCTTTCAAGCAGGGAAGTGTCTTTGTACAGATCCTTGGTGACGAACACCCCTGGCCCCGAAAGCAGGATGTGATACCATCTGTAATTTGGTGTATGCAATCAGTAGATGTCTCAAATTCACTTCGTAAATAGGAGTTACGTACTCATCTTGAAGCGCAGAGCGCTCCTCTGGACTGAGCGAGTGGTAATCGGGAAGGTGGTAGATGGGTACATTCGATTCGACAGCTTTCGCAAGCGGATAATGACAGAGCACAGACTCTGTTGTGAGCTTCTTGAAATCGTCCAACGATGGTGGTTTCTTGACAGAGAACAGCCGAGGTCCGATCGGTGGTTGATCGCAACCACTGTGGCCGTTGGACTGTCCGTCTTTCGTGGAGTGCATTGTGGGTGTTGTCTCGAATGAAAAATATCGTGTTGAACCTCATATTTAGGTTGTGATCACGCGTAGTAACAACAATCGCTGACATCCGCAACTGGCAATCCCGCCCGCGAGCGGTCGTTGTTGCTCTATAGGAAAGCGGAGGTGCGGGTTTGCCCCACTTGCGCTACCAGCCTCTTACGCCCTTCTGTCGCGATGTCATCGTCTTCATCATCTTGACTTGGAAACGCTGCTTACCGAAAGAGTCCGGTACGGCCTCTGCCAGATGCGACACATAACCGGCATATAGCCGGGGACTCGACGAATCTCACAATGCCCGAACACCAATAGCGACCGACGGTTAAGGGTCGACCAATGCCGGCCTCTATAAGCGCATGGCATGTCCTATGACAGCGGGTCGTGTTAAAATGTCACTCAAGAGTTTTCGGAAGTGTTGTTCTTTCTTCGATCATGCTATTAGTAGGCTCTAAAAATCGTAGAACCAATATTCGTCAATACCATCGCTCTGTACGCTGGTGTCCTCATAACATCAATCGTGAATCGTCTTCATGGAATATTGCTCCATTGATGAAGATTCTATACATCACATTGACCAAGATGTGGGAAGAAGTGGACGTCGCGAAAAGACGGAGAGTACGTCATGCTATCGAAGATCATGTTATTGTGACTCGCGAGATTCCTTTTTCACCATCGCATTTCTATCACGATCGCCGTACACGCTGCGAATTCTGCAATCGCGGTGACCCGTTAGCTTCTTGATTAGAATCCCATGTTTTATGTTCCTTCAAACGAATGTACAAAGAGTACGTAGTTCCAAGAATGATCAAAGTGATTGGAAAAGGAAAGAACTAGCGCTTCGTGCAGATGTCGTCAGCATACACCGACCAGCATCCTTATCATCAAGCTTTGTCTAGATCTCGAGATCCATTATTTCTGTGAACTTAGCGCTCAGACTCTCCGTCTTCTTCACTGCCTGTTCGTATCGCTCAATCTCACTTCCTACCCACAAGCGCCTCTTTTCCACCGGAAAGTCACTCTTGACTCTAGCTAGATCGTTCTTCAATTGTTCGAGTAATTGAACAAAGCGTTTGCTATCTTTCGACCGACTCTCCTCTGTCATCTCAGTGTTGCAGACCTCTTGAACAAAATCCAGGATATTCGTTAAGGTAGCAGCACAGGCGCTAAAAGGGCCATGGTGTTGAGGCTCGGAGGGGTGTAGTTCGTTGTAATGCACCATGGTTATCGGCGTAAGACTCACTTGGGTAGCTTGAAAGTGTTCGTTCTGGTAACCAATGGTTTGAGTCAGAGGACTTTGTAGAAGTTGAGTTTATGATTCAGGAAAAAGAATTCAGGAAACCAGGAGAGTACTCTGCAGCTAATTTGAGGCCATAACTCAATAGGAGTCGAAGTCACTGTCGTTTTAATGTGGCAAGACAAAGCACGTGAAACGATGTAGTGACTATTGTATATGGCTCTTGGAGGCGGGATTACCTCCGTTGTTTGTGAATATCGACTTTTCCTACGAGCATATAATACCGCACAATTCACACGCAACTTTGTACAAAAACACAACGTAACTGTGTCACTCAGAGTGGCAGAGAAGAAAAGTAAGCATGTCGTCTCGAGGTCTCAACGTCTACCTCTTAGACATCTGTGTAGACAACCATCTCCACATCGTACATCTTCTCCCACACAAGGAAAATGACGAGGTGTTGTAACAACAGCCGAGAGCCGTTCACGAGAAAGTGATTCGTGCTCTCGATGCAATCACCAGTGGACCTCCCTCAAAGAGCTGATGGTCATGTCATAACCGGCAAACCGCGGACGCACTGACGGCAAGGCTACCAATGACGGCGTATGACGGAGGTGAGGGGCCACATCGTTTCAAAGGAGTTATCGGGGCGTCCAGGCTAGAGAAAGAAGAGATGCTGAAGAAGCTAAGCTATCGCATCACGCAGCTCTTTCAGCACTTTCGGCAGACCCATACAATGTCCCACAAGCTCCGCTTAACAGATCGGCTAGCTCTAGCCTATCGCAATTCGGATTCGCATCGCGGGTAGTGGATACTGATACCGCAGGTAAGCCTTGACGCAGCGAATGGGAGAATTCCCACATCGGCACTTTGTTTTGCTGCATATTCGCCAAGGCGCAATAGAATCAAAACGTGAAACACATGATATCCCCGGACTTGGCAGCAGCGGAAAGCACATGGGTGGTGTTGGTGAGGCTTGGCTTGGCCACCGGTTATATGTGTTTCGACGTGGTGTTGGGATCCCTTTTTTCATTTAAAGTGAGACTAGAACGAACAAGATGTTCTATGCGACTGGGTACTATGGGCTTATGATGACTTATGACGCCTTGGGGGTGGGGTAGTCTGGCGAGAAATAGATGAAGAGTGAGAATAGATGGGTTGGTGATGAAATTTAGGGACCAAAAAAATGGATATCCCTCCAATGACATGGAACGATGCAGTGAACCATGCTGAGATGTCGTTCAGTATAAGTATCTGACAGGTGCCATGTTGTAAGAACCATCGCAATCACTAGCATTCGATACCAACCAGTACATTCGCTTCTCCAACTTTTTACTTTCACTTCTTTTGAACATATTCACCCTCTTCTCTACAACATGAAGCCTGTTGCTCTTTTCGCTTTGCTTGCGCCCCTGGGGGCCAATGCCCACTACATCTTCAACCGCCTCATCGTCAACGGTGCGGCTATCGGTGGCGACTATGCTTACACCCGTAAGAACACCAACTCCTACATGCCGTCGTTCCCCAACGAGGTCATCAACTCTCCCGACCTGAGGTGCAACAAGGGCGCCAAAGCCGGAGGAGTTCCCACCTACAACGTCAAGGCTGGTGACAAGCTCGGCTTCAAGCTCTTCAACAACGAGAAGATTGAGCACCCTGGTCCAGGCTTCGTCTACATCTCCAAGGCACCTGGCAAGGTTGCTGATTACGACGGCTCCGGTGACTGGATCAAGGTCATGGAGAGCGGCCTCATCAACCCCAGCCAGCCCGGCGTGGACACTGCTTGGGACAGCTGGCAAAAGGACCGCCTCGAGGTAAGTTTCGACTGTTCTGATTACCTACGAGCCATATACTGACTTTGTATCTCTAGTGGACCGTTCAGCAGAACATTCCTGCTGGTGAGTACCTCGTCCGTGTCGAGCACATCGCCATCCACGAGGGCCACGTCGGCAAGGCTCAGTTCTACATGGAGTGCTTCCAGCTCAACATTGCGTCGTCCGGCAAGGGCAACCTTTCTCCCAAGGTCAAGATTCCCGGTGTCTACAGTGCTCAGGACCCCGGCATTGCGTTCAACAAGTGGAACAACCCCAAGTCGTACACGATGCCCGGCCCCAAGATGTGGAACGGACAGTAAGCGACTCGTTTCGCCACTGGTGTCCCATCAGGCAGTCAAGTTGAGGAGGAATCGGCTTTCTTTTACATCGCACGCCCTAGTGGTGCTACTTTCTTGTTCCCGCATCCATAGCACTCGATCTCAGTAGCTTTTTGACAAATGACGATGCGTTTACCTCAATCTGAGCATTTCCCATGTTAGTGATGCGTTGGGTGATGAAGATTTGGCGCCCGATGCAGACATGTTAGGACAACATCTGAATCGTGATCGGCTCGCGCTGTATGTTCGAGTGGCGTGCTGAGCTATGGCAAGGCGACAAGTCGTGCGCGACTACTGTTGTTAGATCGCTTTTAGCAGGAAAGCTAGAGGGCTGTCAATATTAGCGTACATGAACAGTAGACAGTTGCGAACATCTGTTCGGGACTGCGGTAGTGTTATAGTTGTCGCGATGCATAACAGACAGGCGACTACACATCTCGTGCATGATCAGGCGCCGAACGAAGTACTATTGTGCAAGGCGCATGCCCAAGATGGAGCAAAACTGGACATGTCGCGGTGTAGAGCTGAAGATTGAGGTGACGTGGTGGGCAAAAGTGGGACCGCATCCTGGCTGGTGCGCCGCGGTTGCTGGGGGAGCGGTCGACTGAATCGTGTTTACCCAACCCAGACGAGACATCAAGCCGCGATAGGCCCTGCTTAGCTTTACACATACCACATCCCCGCTATCAATCGCGGCGTGACTACAGAGAAGTACTCTCTGCTATTGCTACCATCGACTACTGTCTTTCGCTGGAGCTTTCTTGCGCGTCCCACACCTAATCGACGCCGTTTCTCACTCTAATCGACGCATGACATCCACGCGCCGTGCATGTCCCACACAAGTTGCAGGTCAACCAAGAATTAATACTACGACTACAATAACCGAATAATACCCAACATGGCCGTCGGCCAGGCGCTGCCAGTGCGCTTTCCGTGCTGGTGCAAAGCTGTGTATTCATGGGGAGGAGAGGTAAGTTGCGACAGAAGCTGGCTTGTTGCAGCACCTGACCTAATCGCTGTTCCAGACCAAACGCGACCTCGGATTCATAGAAGGCGACCTGATCGAAGTCCTTAATGCCGGTGATGGATCCTGGTGGATGGGCCGGTTGAAGCGCGACAGGCGCATGGTTGGACTGTTCCCTTCCAACTTTGTCGAACTGCTCAGCGAAGACTATCAACCATGGGCACGCAATGGCAGCGGAGGAAGCATGTCGAGGCAGAACAGTGCCCAGGAGCAGCCAAAGCCAGCACCGCAGAAGCAGAAGAGCACCTTCAGGAAGCCCTTCACGGCTTATGCAGCTGCAGGCGCACCAAATCCTGCTGCTGCTGCGCGAGAGAGGCTCAAGGCAGGCATCAACTCACCAAACGGCAGTGTCAAGACCAAGTCTCCCTTCTCGTCGATGAAGCGGTCGTCTACCGAGAGTCGCGAGAGCCCACCGCTTGCGTCTTCCACAAGAAAACAGTCAAATCTTCGCGCCGTATCACCACGACCTCCTTCCAAGAGAACACCAGTAACACGCGCTATTTCACCAGCACCACCGTCACGTCACGGTTCGCATACACGCGCACAATCATCTCCCGTACCGCCCGCCGACTATCGCTACCAGCCTCGCGCCGTATCACCAGCTCCTCCCATCCGACGCGGCTCGTATATCCCACCACAATCGCATGCGCCTCCAGCACAATACCAGTATCAACCCCGTGGTGTATCGCCTGCACCTCCTATACAACATCGCAACTACACTAGAGCAGCATCTCCAGCTCCTCCACAACAAATACAAGACATGTACCGAGCAGCTTCTCCAGCTCCTCCAAGACCAAGTCAAGATGTTTACAGGGCACCATCACCAGCTCCTCCCCGACAAAGTCAGGACTATTACCGGGCAGCCTCGCCAGCGCCCCCCGTCCACTACCAACAGCATTCACGAGCTGTATCGCCGGCACCATCCTTTCAGTACCGAGCATACGACCGTGGACCTTCGCCGGCACCATCATTCCAAGAGCGTTCACGTGCGGCTTCGCCAGCCCCTTCATTCCAGTACCGCGCATACGATCGAGGTCCATCGCCGTCTCCCTACCAGATGCAATTGGATGATGACGAGCTTAGTCGCGGCCCATCACCCGCTCCTTACAACGAAGAATACGAAGAAGAACCTGTGGACTCGCCTCCTCCGCCTCCGCCTCCGCATCGCGTCGCTTACGACCCAAGTAGAGCTCCGTCACCTGCACCTCCTTCGCATAATGGCTTCATCACACCAGAACCGCCTTCGCCTGATCCAAGAGCACGCGGTGGACACTTCACACCCTCTCCTCTCACGACAGCAATGAACGATGTCATGTCGTCTTTGCAAGATATGACAACATCAAGAAGCGATGAGTCGCCAGAAGAGCCTCCGACCCCATCGAATCCATGGTCTCCGGAAGCGTTTGACCAAGTCTACCAGGAGTCGGCTAAAAAGGTCAGAGCGCAGTCCGCTATGAGCCGCGGTGACGAAGACGAAGAGGAAGGTCTGCCAGATGTTAACAATTACATGAAGCGCATGGAAAGTCGTCTAAGGCGAATGAAGCAACAAGAGCAAGCTAGGAACGGTGAGCTTTTCATCGGCGATGATGAAGGGCCAACCGTACCTCTGAAAAGCTCACACCAGCGACCCGGATCCTCGATGACTGATGCTGAGCCAGAAGTTCAGCGAAAGGGCTCGAAGCTACTTAACCATCGCAAATCCGCCTATAACGTCGGACGAAATGCACTTGGACGAACGTTTACGAGCAAAACGAATTCTACGACTACGACACACACAAGCAACAGCACCGATCGCAGTTTGATGTCTGGACACTCTGCTACGAACATGAGTGCTACAAGCGCCGGGAGCTATTACCGCAAGAAATTTGGAAAGGATCGACCAAAGAGCGTCATGAACACCAAAGACACGGCTGCAAAGGGTTATGGATTCGACGACGGACGGCCAGAGACACCTTTCACTGGTGTCACCTATCACTCCAGCCATGCTTCACAGCCGCAAGCCGGTTCCAGCGACATCCAACAAGCTGAAGTCAGCACCCCAGCCACGGACGACCCAGATCCTCTTGGTGGACTGAGGCAGCCACTGAAGACAAAGCGCAGCGGCTTCTTCCGTAAGATGATCGACACTGCGAAGACCCAAGCCGCGAATGCACGCAGCACCATTGACACAATAAGTAGGCCGGGATCCCGGGCTGCCAGCCGAGCTGCTGGTCGTTCCCAGAGTCGCGCCGCAAGCCGCCTGGATAACTCCGAACCGACTGGCATAGAAGGGGGCAAATCGACCCACGCGGCGAAGGAATCTAGGGATACCGGCCTTGGAACGGTAGATTGGGTGCAGGTCCGGCGGGATGTAAATCGGTCCAACTCACTAAGCAAGAACGAGCGAACAGAGCGAGCCGAAAGATGCCAGATGATGGACATTCCTGTTTTGAACCCCATTGAGATCCTGTATGAGTCGGCTGAGGGCGACGAGGGTCTTGATGGTCTTCCCATCACTGAGCCTACTGATTTCGCGGCTTGCAGTCTTGCTCATGTTGACAAGAGCGCGCGCTTCATCAACAGCATTCCTCTTGGAACGAACCCAGCGACTTTGGCACAAGGCTATGTTTGTCGACCATACCGAAGCGATATTCAACGATTACGAGCTATTTTCACATGGGTCAGCGAGCGCATATCGTGGGAAGAAGATTTTGAGGGTCAGATGGATCCGAAACACGTACTTCAAAGCAAGCGCGGATGCTCTGAAGAAATCGCCATGGTCGTGGCAGAGATGTGTGCTTCCGTTGGAATGCACGCTGAAGTCGTCCGTGGCTATCTCAAGACACCAGGCGAACCCTTGGACCTAGAGAGCGTCGCGCGGCCGAATCACTTCTGGAACGCTGTCATCGTAGAGGGTGAGTGGCGCATAATGGACTGCTCCCTTGCTGGGCCGACAAACCCAAAGCGAGTTCACTACTCGACTGCGGGATCATCTGTGGCCGAGACATGGTACTTCCTTGCTCGCCCAATGGAGATTTGCTACTCTCACGTTCCACTCCTTCCGGAACAGCAACACATCTGCCCACCTCAGCCACACGAGGTGTTGATGGCACTCCCATGTGCAACGCCCGCTTACTTCCGACATCATCTCAACGTAGTCAACTTCGATACTAGTCTCTTGAACCTAGACAACCTTGAGATGGCGCATGTCTACGTTGACGTACCAGAGGATGTAGAGTGTGTTGCGGAGGTTGAGGCACGAGCCTATGATCAAGACATGGACGGCGATCTTTTTGAGAGCGGCGAGATTGTGAGGAAGCCGGCATTGGCACAAGCCGAATGGTACAGTGGCCAGAAGAGATACACTGTTAAGGCCCTTCTTCCGAACGATGGTGGCCAGGGTGTCCTGAAGATCTATGCAGGACCCCGGGGACTTATGGTAAGCTTTTTCTCGTCACGTCTCTAAGACAGATAAACTAACGCCTCGTAGCACTCCAACAAGCTGAACCCTCACAACCTGGCAATCGGCCTTCCTTTGACGCACACCGGCACCAATCCTCCGTATTCGTTCTTGACTCTGCATCCTACGCCTCATGCCCAACGACACGATCTATACGTCGCCCAGCCGCAGTGCGCTAATCTGGCCCTCAACAACACTTTTGTCTTCTGCGTCCGCCAACATCCGTCATCCCTTACAAAATCCCCCGAACCTAGTCCCGCGATGCATGGCCGAGCATCGCCAAATCCTTTTGCTCGCCCTACATCCGCTATGAGCATGCAGAGTATCTCAGCAACTGGATCCAACTACACGAACCCATCTCAAAGTTCTTCTGGATCATCAGGTAGTAGTAGCAACAAGCCTGCCAAGCTAGCCGTACAAACACCTTCTGGCAAGATTATACGCCTGACTAGAAAGACGGAGCATATTAGCAGTACTAACGATGCTGATGGTACGGCTTGGGAAACGGTCATCAAGATTGGAGAAAAGGGCACATGGCGAGGTCTGGTGCTTGCTGATCGAAGCGCAAGGTGGTGTGTTTTTGCTCAATGGGAGTGTGCTTGATCGTGTGGCAGCCTTTTTTTCTCTTTCTTTATACTTCTCTTATGACTTGTAATGATAGCGTTTGTACTCGTATGACCGCCACGGCCGTTGTAACGCTTTTGCATTTCTCGGCGTTTATACAGGAAATAGGGTGACAATACTACTACGGCGTATTTTGGTAATAACATGATCTTCGAGCTGCTTGATGGTGATGTATGACAGATCTACAAGGTCAAACAAGCTGGGCTAGTCTGGCCTTCTATATTTCTAGCAAAGTTGTCGTGAGTCGAGGAAACAGCCCTGCAGTGACTCGTACCTGCCAAGCTCCGTGTTGCCCCGCGTCATCAGTCCACCCCACTTCAACTTTTTCCCATTACGAACGATTGCCTAACGACTGGATACAATCCAGATTCAACAAAACTTCATAGAACACAAAACAACTGTCGCCAGCATGGACGCGCAAATCGCCGAATGGCAAAAGCGCTCCGAGGACCTCAAGCCCCTCAACCTCAAGCAAATCGAACCCCACCTATTGGAACTTGATGCACACCTCACTCTCCGCTCCCACATCGTCGGCTACACAATCTCCGACGCCGATACGATAGTATGGAAGACCATCCGCGAGAACCGCGTTGCGCACGCATTCATCAAGCAGGACTTGATGAAGAACCTGTGCCGCTGGTTTAGGTACATCGAGGAGGCATACCCCCAGAGCGTGGTCATTGTCGGAGGACAAGGCAAGAAGGAGGAGGGTGCCAAGGGCAAGGGCAAGAAGGAGGGAGGCAAGAACGATGATGCGAACTATGACATTGGCCTGCAGGATGTAGGCGATGGCACTGGCATCGTTACTAGGTTCCCGCCTGAGCCTTCGTGAGTTGTTCTCTTCTTCGGTGGGTGCGACTACCTTCCGCTAACCGTATCCCAGAGGTTACCTTCATATCGGTCACGCCAAAGCAGCGCTGCTCAACGATTACTTCGCGCACGAGAAGTACAAGGGCAAGCTCCTGCTGCGATTTGACGACACCAACCCTACCAAGGAGAAGCAAGAGTTCCAGGATGCCATCGTCGAGGACTGCGCGCTTCTCGGTATCAAGCCAGACCAGGTCTCCTACACCAGTGATTGGTTCGACCAGCTCTACGAGAGCTGTGTGCAGGCCATCAAGGATGGATTGGCCTACGCAGACGACACAGTGCAGGAGAAGATGCGTGAGGAGCGTATGAACGGCATCGCGAGTGCTCGCAGGGACTCAAGCGTCGAAGACAACCTTGCGCACTTCGAGGAGATGAAGAAGGGCAACGAGGAGGGCTTGAAGTGGTGCATTCGCGCGAAGATGTCCGTCGATGACCCCAACAAGGCCATGCGTGACCCTGTCATCTACCGCTGCAACCCCCAGGCGCATCACCGCACTGGCGAGAAGTGGAAGATCTACCCTACCTACGACTTCTGCTGCCCCATCGTCGACTCGCTCGAGGGCGTTACCCACGCGCTACGCACAACCGAGTACAACGACCGTGACGCACAGTACCAATGGTTCATCAAGAACCTCAAGCTCCGCAAGGTCCACAACTGGGGTTTCGCGCGCCTGAACTTTGTCCGTACTGTATTGTCCAAGCGCAAGCTCACTAAGATCGTCGATGCTGGTATTGTATCGGGCTGGGACGACCCGCGCATGCCTACCGTCCGCGGTGTCCGTCGCCACGGTGCCGTCATCCCCGCTCTCCGTGAGTTCATCCTCAAGCAAGGCCCTTCCAAGAACATTGTCAACCAGGACTGGTTCGCCTTCTGGGCCACGAACAAGAAGCACATTGAGCCAACTGCGGCTCGTTACACCGCTATCGATGACTCTGGCCGCGTTCCCGTCACCATCATCGGCGCGCGTGAGGGCGTCATCTCCGAGGACAAACCGAAACACGCCAAGTACGATCTCGGCAACAAGAAGATCGTCTTCAGCAAGTCTGTCATCATGGAGCAAGCAGACGCACAATCGTTCGCTCAAGACGAGGAGATCACCCTCATGAACTGGGGTAACGCCATCGTGCGCAAGATCAGCCACTCGATCAACCCCCTCGAGATGGCCAAGCACGGCCTCAAGACCGTCACCGGCCTTGAGCTTGAGCTACATCTCCAAGGAGACGTCAAGAAGACATCCAAGAAGGTCACTTGGTTGAGCAATGACCAGGAGCTTGTTCCCATTGAGCTTGTTGACTACGACTACCTCATCACTAAGGACAAGCTAGAGCCTGAGGACACGCTCGAGGACTTCCTCAACCCGAAGACTGAGTCTAGGACCAAGGCCATGGCTGACTGCAATGTCGCGGACCTTAAGGTCGACGATATCGTACAGTTTGACCGCAAGGGCTTCTTCCGTATCGATCGCGCTTTTGCGCACGGCGAACCTGTTGTCGCGTTCCAGATCCCTACTGGTAAGAGCAAATAGATATTGTTCTTCGGGATTACCTGCTGTGACTGAATTTCAAAACAACGTAGTACTGATTATGTAGAGAACTATGCTCTATTGGAACCTGAATAAACTGATGCTCCTGATTCGCACTATCTTGGTCCAAGCCATCTTGTTCAAGCATTTTGATTCATCATCTCTTGGTGTCGCGCTATCTTATGTGCTATCACGTTCCCTGTCGATGAGCCCAAAGTGCAAGAGACGCTCCGTCCCTAAACGATGATACTCACATTCACTTTGCTCTGTCACCGCATTTAGTGGTGATCTAGAATGGAGACCTTACCTGCCTACTCACTCATTTTTCTCTTCTTCATCTACGTGTCGATCGTCGCTCCATCGCATTGTCAAATCTTCCATCCAACGTCTACTGTCACGCAAGAACACCGAAGAAGTAACCATGAGGCTCATCGCTTTTGCTATTATTATCACAGCGTGCGGCATGCTCGCGACTGCGGCACCAACCGCTGGTAATGAGAGTAGTGAGTACCGGGGTTCAGGTTGAAGACCTTTTTATTAACCACTGCAGTTGGTGATGCCGGCTTAGCAAACGGCGGTAGCTACAACCATACTCAGCCTGTGCACAGTATGTTTTGCAAATTTCCCTCAAAACGAACTACCAACACAATCAAGTCTTTACACTTGTATCAAACTGGGTATAGTTCCAACGTCTAACCACCCCCCAGTCGACAAGTCGGAGACCATCACCCTCGGCCTCAGCCCCAATGGCATCAACGTCGGGGACAGCAAGACTCTTTACCACGACGTCCAGACTGCGATCGAGCATATCTGCCCACCTACAGGCAAACGCTGCGGCAGCAATCACGCAACATTCAACGTCTACGTCACCTCCCGCGGTCTGAGCATCTACACCAACAGCCATGTTCGCAAGACCATCACCGTCTCAGTCGAAGATTCATGGTACGACGGCCGCTCCGACGTGTACGAAGTCTTGCGTAACACGATTGCTGCCGCCTTTGAACGAGGGACGTACGATCCCGGAAATTGCGTCCCTGCATTGACAGTGTCTATCGGAGGGAAGAAGCAGGTGTTTAGAGACTGCACGACCCTGGATTACGCGGAAGTTATACTTTCTGGCAGTTACAAGATGAAGGTTAGATTTGGGGGACCAAGGAGCCAGTACAAAGACTTGAACTATGACTGCGAGAGAGAAGTCGATGATGCGTTTGTCTTTGTGAGGGATGATGTACAGTGGAAGGGTACAGCTTGGGTGTACTGTATTGGGTGGGATCTGTGGCCCCGTGATTAGGGCTTGGTAGGTAGTTGGGAAAGACAGGTTGAACGGCTCAGAGGTGAACTGAAAAGACGGGAGAATGAAAGCAAAGTCACATGATGTTTCGTACATGATGATAACATCTGGAGCTGATGTGGCTATAATACCATGATTTGGATATAACACCTTGCAAGGTAGGACTTTCTCATGTGTTCTCAACAAGCAACTAACTCGGATGATACCTTGTACCGTTCTCATGGCGAAAAACACGATAACGAAGTGTATAGTTAGCCTTTCATTTCGCCTGCGGGTATGGTGAGCTGCAAGTCATTGACGTACGTGTATATGTACCTATGGAGGTAAGCGTAGTACTCAGTATTGACAGCTGGTATTGGTTTTCAGGCGGATCTTTAGATTCCGATATCCTATCTGTATCTTTTCATGGGCTCGTGACTCTTGTCACGGCCACCTCCCACCCACCCGACGATTTCATGTCATCATACATTATTCGTCATGAGCATACATTGTGCCTGGAAACCAATGGAATCGACAAAACAATGCTAGGCAAGCATGCCTCAATGTAGCTGTTCCATCTGGGGACCAATTCACTGCCTAACCGGAGTTGGAGCCCTTGCCTTCCTTCCTGCCTTGAGTACCCTCCTTGGTGACCTCATCCGGCTCACCCTCTTCCAACTTCTTATTCCTCTCCTCCTCGCGTTTACGCTCATGCTCGCGAACCATATCCGGTGGGCTGTCCTCAATGAGATCAGAATCGCCACTCAGACCGCTCCACTTAGGAAGACCGTCTGGGATATCCATGACACGTTGGCCGTAGAACATATGGCAGCGGGGCTTGAAGTATGCCTTGTCTTCGTCTGTCTTGAGGTGCACGAGGGAGGGGAAAAGAAGGATCATGTTGCGGCCCTCGTCCATGATGGGTGAATGGCAGTAGGAGCAACGAACTTTGCAGGGGAGCTTGTGCTCGATGGACTTGTCGGTTGGGTCATACCATTCTAGATCGTGGTGGCCGTTGGTGAAGTTGATGTCCTCTTTGTGAAAGATGGCTGCCCATTGGAAGGGTGCAGCTGACGGGTGTTAGTTGTAACTCTAAGAGAAATTGGACGAAGAAACATACCATGCTGGGTCTGACAGGTTGTACAATGGCACAGCTTGCTGTCTAGTGGCTCTCTCCGGCTGAGCTGGTACTGAACCTTTCCGCAATGGCAGTTGGCTTCGTACTTGACGTCAAAGTCGTCGTTCTTCTCGTGGACGCGGTAGGGTGGGCGTTGTTTCCACTCCGACTTTCCAGTCGTCTCCTGGCCACGGCTCTG